GGGGGGGGGGGGTGTTTCAAATAAACTTTTTAGAGAGAGAAAAGTCCTATTTTGACCCATGGAACACGTTCCTGTCGTTTAGCGATTTAACCATCGGACACCATGCATTAGTAGGACGTTTTTACTTCAGACGAGGAAAGAGTGAACGAACAGCATATCACCGACAGCACTAGAGAGAATAAGAGGATTCCTTCGGTTTCAGTCCGAAAGAGAGTGAAAGGAGGCGAGAAAGAAGCGCATTAGATAACACGCGACAAGCAGCGAGAAAACCGCGCGTAACCTCTCCGAAGGCAGCTTGAGTTATAGCCCTCGCTTGCATTTCTGTGTTAATTATAAGTCGTTTCCCGCCAAGAACGCCCGTAAATCCGAAAAATTGACGGCGCAGGTGGGTCTTAAATTTCCAGGTCGGAAAACGGGTTTTTGATTTCGCAGCGCGGATGTCTTTGGTCTCTGATCTTCCGGGAGTTAGGAAGAGCCATTTTCACGTCATCCGACGATCGGGTTTAAAGCCGAAACCTAGCGCACTTAAATCCCGCGTCGAAGAAGAAGGAGTATTCGGATGCCACCGAATTTTCCCTCATTAAATACTCACCATCGAGAAAATTTTTTGAATCGAGTTCTCAGGCAAATAAGAGTAAATTGTCATTCTCTCTGAAAATTTAAAAAAAAAAAAAAAAAAATAGATTTTCACATCTGTGCATCTGTCAGAAAGTTCTTATTTTACTTATAAGGAAAAAATTAGCAACATCCGGAAGTTTTCACTCGGTGTTTTTATACGGCTCGGCAGTTTACAGTTTCGATAAAACGTAATTTTGAGCATCCCCGTTGACCGCAGAGTTTTTTTTTTTCGGGGGAGGGGGTTNGGGGGTAAAAATGAAAAGTAGAATATGTAAATTAGTTGCACTGCACATATCCTAAAAAAATTCAGTCCCCTCTCAACTTATTTTCAAGGTGAAGTTCGCCCATTTTTTAAGTGTTGATGCATAGTAACCTCCGAATTCTCAGCGAATGAGGAAAAATGCAGAGAATTTTAATTGAATTATTCAGTGCAAAAAACTGTGGAATCCCTGGAGTAATGAGGGGGGGGGGTGGAAGGAGGGCTGAAAACTCATGAAATTTGAAAATCTCTGTTTAATGATCGGCGAAAAATTCAAGTTTCAACCGCAGGCATGGGATTTACCTACAAATGATGTGATCATTTTGAGATTTGTTGACCAACTGATGCCACAAGAGCAAACTGAAGAAAAATTTGGGATAACTCTGAAAAATTACGACTGTACGAACTTTGTCCCATGATCATTACTATCCGATTATTTTTGTATCTTCCCCTAAAACTTACACGAATCAACCGAGCTGTCCTGTCCATCAAAGTAACTTTCGTTGGTACTTCAAAGGACGTTCGCATTCATTTTAAAACGTAAGGAATTTTTTAAAGCAGAGGCTGAAATTGCACCGAATAATTCAACAGGTCTCTAATTAAATGCCGGCCTGTTTAAATCCAGTACCTTGCTTTTCTATGCTTTTTTTTATATAAACTGTAGGTGCGTTCTCCATACCGGCGTTGAACATTCAAGAGCTACCACCGCCACGCAAACTAAAATGAAATTACGCCTAAAACTTTTTTATCATACTTGGAAGTTGAAATAAAAACACCAGGAGAGCTCAAAATCCGTTCGAGTCGAAAGATGATTGAAAATGAAAACACATGAAAGTGAAAACATCTCCACGGCTTCTAAATAATTGTACGCGCAATGCATACAAATTTTACCCGTAAAATGAAGGCGCTCGGCAAAATGACCCCTGAACTTGGGGGAGACGTTTGTTCAGTGAAAAGTTTTAAAAAATCGGCGCTTTGCCCTGGTTTTTCTTTTTTTTTTTGGGGGGGGGGGGGGTTCCGCGCCCCCGCACTCGGGACGCGTGGTTTACGCTCATTTTTTCAAACATATGCGAGCTTATTCTGCCGTGCTAAGGAAGAACGCCGTATGAGACTTTAGACGTTGCCAAATTTCGTTCTATAAGACACGAATTTCCTTGTAAACTTATGAATATTTACCTTCCAATTTTATTGACAATTTTGTTTGCAATTTCATTTAAAATTTCTGAGAATTTCAAGGAAAAATATCCATAACTTTCCTAAAAAATAAACATTTCATTGAAGGAAATTTGGCAACTCTCGAATGTTCATACGGCGTTTTTCCCTAGCACGGCAGCTAGTTGTCTCTTCTTCGTAAGTGACTCGCGAATCCACCGCGGGTAGCAACCAAGTGTACTTCCCGAAACGGAAGCGGGCAGCGGGACCGGTTGAATTGTGATTATGTAGTTGGTTTTGCCTATCATTAAAATGAAGGCGCATCCTACGTTTGTTCACTGATCGGTCTCCTTCCGAGACCCGCAAATACAATGGAGCTCTTGCATGTGTCAGGAATTTGCGATTCTTGTATGCGTTGATTCCCTCGTAAAATTTTGCGAGAAGCGCGATGGTGCCACTGGTTTTCTCTGAAACGAACTCCAAAGCTCATAAAAAGCTCTCAAAGTTTAGGCCGTAATTGAGGAGATTTCATGCGCTATCCTAAGAGTCCGCCTTTATATCAATTCAAACTCTCCATGCAAAGATTGGGAGCAAATGCATTAGCAGGGTTGCCATGTTTGTCCCCAAACAAAGTGGCGATCCTGTTGGTGTATTTGCTCCCTATCTTTGCATGGAGAGTTTTGACTTGATACGGAGGTGGACTCTCGGGATGGCGCGGGATATCCCCTTTATTACGGCCTCAACTCTGAGACTTTTTTTGAGCTATGGAGTTGATCTCAGAGAAAATCAGTGGCACCATCACGCTTCTCGCAAAATTTTACGTAGGAATCAATACATACTTAAATCGCAAATTCCTGACTCATGCAAGAGCATTCAGGCAACACTCTGCAGGCTTTCATGTTCAAAATGACCTAAAGCCTTTTTTTTAATGTCCCTTACTAAATTTTGTATTGAGTTTTTCACGAATCATTAAATAAATGTAAATTTGCCTTTTTGTTCACAGGATGTCATCTCCGGTAGCTGAATTTTACAAGGGAGCGGATATTTTTCTTACCGGTGGCACTGGTTTCGTTGGCGTTGCCCTGATCGAGAAACTCCTAAGGTGTTTTGGAAATGACATCGGAAAAATCTATCTTCTAATTCGTAGCAAAAAAGATGTCCCTGCCTCCCAAAGAGTTTTAGATTTACCCAAAAATTCAGTGAGTAGTGCTCAAATTAATCAGTAGTATTACAAGATGTATTTGGAGTAAAGTGTGCATTGATCCACAGCTGCTGCTGATCAGATTTGTAGGGGAAACATTTCCAGGGTGTCCACCGGTCCCCAAAAGTCCCCAATGTCCCCGATTTTGGAAAGGTATCCTCGGCGCTCCGGTCAGCATGAAACACATATTAACGCCTACAAGATACCATGAATACTTCACGCATTGCGTCAAACGTAGTGCGGTCAGCAGCGGTCGGCGTGGAACGCATAGCGCCCACAAGACTGTAGGGATACTTCACGCATGGCGCCAAACACAGTGCGGTTGGCGCGGTGGCGGAAATTAAAATCAGTAAACTACATTCATGTTTATTCTTTCATAATTTTTTCGTTCTTCTCTTTTAAATGAAAGGCCTCGTCCACACAGAGATAGGTTTACGGAACTTAATTTTCGCGCAAAATTCCGAGAACTTTTGGTAGTGTTGGCAGGGCTTTCACAAAAAATGTGCCCAACACGAGTAAACGAGTCTTATGCACCTCTCCTCCTCCGGCACGTTCACTTGATGGTTTGTATCGATGTTTCAAAGCGAATGAGAAGGGGCGGCAAAAACAGGCGGCCCATGGGCGGCAAGTAGGTTAATCCGGCCCTGTTTGTCACCCTCTATCGTGTCTGAATGACAATCAATTCTTGTCCGGATCTCTTTTCTCCATCCCCTAAAAAATTTAATTATTTTGCTCTTTTCTTGGGGTTTTTCTTCTCCTTTATAATAGAATTAATCTTGTACTCATTTTACTTCTAGGTGTTTGAAAAATTCATTGCAGAGAAAGGCGATGGTCTCTTGAAGGAAAAACTGGTAGCGGTTTCTGGTGATGTGGGCTCTCCAGACCTTGGCTTATCAGATAGTGACAAAGCTGCCCTGAAAAATGTCAGCATTGTGTTCCACTCAGCTGCAACTTTAGATTTTGAAGCTAATTTAAAAACAACCTATGAAATCAATTTATTAGGCACACGCAGAGTAATAGAACTCTGCAAATCTCTACCCAAGTTCAAGGTAAGAATTTTATGACTCAAATAAATGAGTGTGCACCAATTATTCTGAGCCATTCTTGCTCAGAGTGAATGTTTTGTCTTGGATGAATGTGCATATCCGAATGAATGAAGTGTATGCTTAGTAGTGGAGAATCTCAATGAATGGACTCTCTCACACGACATTTTTCATTTTACCTTATTTGAATGCAACATCTGTCAATCAATGTGAGTATCAATTTTAAATAGCAACGAAACTAAATGAAAATACTCCTTCCCTGATTTTCTGTCAATCTTCAAACTTTGGAAAATGTAAGTATGAGCCACCTAAAAGAAGACAACATCCCAAAAGTTGGGAGATTATCAGCGGATAAAATCATATTTTTTTCTGGACTTGTAAAAATGTTTAAAATTGGCTTTTATGCTCATCAGAAAATGACTTATTCATCTGAGTTTCAACCTTCATTCTTTAGAACAAGATTTTTAGGATTAATTTATTTGAACCAAATATTTTAATTGGTACCTAACTTTTCGGAAAAGCAACCAGAATCTGCTTGGTTTTGACTGCGTAGGAGTAGTGGAATTCAAAAAAGCTCCAATTTTGATTTGAAGCTAAAATTATGTAAATATGAAGATTATGGAATGTATTTTCAACTGATCTTGCAGAGAAACGTGGTTCTATTCTGAATCTCTTGGTCATTAGTATGTCCCCACTTAAAGCCATGATGTAGTCTGTATTCATTTGGATTTGCCCTGTGACAATTTAAATTTGGTGCTCACAATCTAAGTAATGCATGAATATATTTTATGAATATTTTTATGCAAGAATTATTTATTATTATTATGAATATTTTTATTTATTTTATTTATTTAGATTAGTGAGTAGCATCAGGATAAAACAGAAATTTGTTATTTTCAGAATTTCAAAGTGAAGGTGCACAAAACGTTATTTATCTTTCTTATTTCTTAAGTGGCTCCTTGTATAAAAATTTGAACATGTCAGTTGTGCCAGTCACAAAATTATGTTTCGATTATTATAGACCAGCGAAACTTGATCAGATCTGTCCGAACACCAAGTTTCCACCAGTATCAAAGGAGATCTCGCCCTGCAAAAAACGCAACATATACCATCATCCACCGCAGTGGTGCATACCGTCGTTTCTTCCCTCTTTGTTTCATTTGTGTTTCTGCCAAGAGCCTAAGCCATCAAAGTGCAGCTCTATGACCAATGCAACTGACCCATTACTGTGATATTTCTGGGGTCTTGTCATGCGTATCATCTTTTCTGTTACTTGAGTGACTTTATTTAAGTCTTTGTTTTACTCATCATCCTTCTTGCTACTGAAGTGATCCTTTTTTTAAAGGCCCTGTTACATGTCTCAAGTGCCTACGCAAATTCCAACCGAAATCAAGCAGAAGAAGTATTGTATGAAGTTCCGGGTGACGTCGAGAAAGTCGGAGGATTAGTCTCTTCCCTAAATGATGCCGCTCTGGAAGAAGTAACTCCAACGTAAGTTTTTTATTCTCCAACGCTTTTCCTCCTTCCTCCAACGATTCTCCTTTTGCTTCATTAAAATTAGGTTGGAGGAACTCTCTTTTCTTACTTTTTTAAGTTTAATTCGTGTACTTTTCAAGATATTTCTGATTTTAGTGGTATTTTAGAAAACTTTCAAGAGTCAGAAAAAAAGTAGTTTCAGAGCTTCTGAGCGTGTAGACTTGATGTCAAAGTGTTTTAGTGCCACTATATTCAACTCAAGAGGCAGAAGTTAACTGGCAAACTGGAAGCGGCTGAATGAAAACTGTGGGCGTCAATTTTTTTTCAACCTCATTTCATAGTTTTTTCCTCACAGAACAAATAAACAAAATCATGACGCAGCGTGTTAACAAGTTTGAAAGTAAGATTTGATTGTTCAAAAGAAAAGAAAAAGAAGGAATAGGAAAAGAAAACCCTCATAAAAGTGATGATAAAGTGGTGCAAATGACACTTCTCTTTACATGGGTACAGTCAAATCAAATAGACGGAAAGGACCTGCTGGCGGATTATTGAAATCAGTTGTTAGTTGAGTGGACAAGGTGAAATGAAGTGCTGCTTTGTCCAGCCTATTTTGGATGGAATTGACAGCATGCTATCGGGAACTCAAGAGTTGCTTTTAGCTTCTCGCCAATTCTACCCGACATAGGCACCACAAAGTAGCGATAAGACATAGCCAACCAATCACAATACACCATATCTCCTTTGTTATCTGTCCGCCTGACGAGCACAAAATATCAATAATCAGTCTATTGTTCCATGAAATTACCTCTCTGAGACTTCTCTTTTCAACTGTGTAATTGTTCTTCTTTTTATGACTAAATCAGTCTAACATTAAAATTTTGTTTCTTGACTTGCGCAGAGTATTAGGGAACCATCCAAACACTTACACTTTTACAAAAGCCTTAGCAGAGCATGCAGTGGCAGAGAGTGGCTTGAACACCTGCATCATCAGACCCAGCATGAGTAAGATCTACATTAATCTTAACTTTTTGATATAAAAAAACGGTGCAAGGAACAAGTGTATATACTGACTTTCAGTGAGAAGTAAATCATCAAAAATGAATGGGCTCCTCCGATATTGGTGTGCCCAGGGTGATCCCAGGTCGGTGATCAAGGAATCTTCAGGCTGCAAGCGCGTGTGCCATGGGTTGATAAAAAACTTGCTTCTTCCAAGAAATTTCTTCCTAAGAGTACTAATTAAAGGAGCTACAGCCCACTTGAAAGCTCTTTGAAATAAATCGTTTTTCCTGCATTTTGGCAACATTAAAGCATCCAAATTTAATGAAAATTGGTATGCACCCATAACTCAATATGCTGAATTCACTAAAAACAAGAGAAAAAATAAAATCTCAGTTAAAAGGGGAGTTTTATAAACCATAAAAACAAGATATTGATCTCTGTAAGTCCATGACCCCACTGCCCCCCAAAGCCCTATTTGTAACTGAGATTTTGATTTTTCTAATGTTGCGTGTATTTAGCTTATCAAATTATGGGTGCATACACATTTTCATAAGATTTGATGCATTGCAAAAATGATCGAACCTGTTTTGAACCCAGTTGTTCTAAAAATTTCTCATAACTTTAACCATTAAAATAGAAACAAACAAATGGGTGCTTGGGGCCCTCTGGGAATATACCAAAATATATTACGCTCCCTCTAAGTGATAAAAATGAGGGTTGTGCGTGTTTTCGAAATTTTGATCGCTTTGAGTTGTATTAAAATGCTTTAAATCAGTTCAAATTATATATAACATACTATTATAGTGAATAGAACTGATTGCTGTCTGTAGCGTTTTGATTATTCAACATGATCAAAATATGCTGGATCCTAGTGGCTGGTGCAGTGATAATTTTGTTCGAAACAAAACAGAATGAGTGAAATGTCAATATCATTTACTTGTTTGCAGTTATCGGAGCATGGAAAGAGCCGGTACCAGGCTGGACAATATCCAAAAATGGTCCACAGGGTTTTCTCATGGCCGCTTCAAAAGGGGTCGTCAGAAGGTTACCCGTCAGCAAGAACCTCGTGTATGATTATATACCTGTAGATATCGTGATCAATCACATGATCCTTGGAGCTTACAAGGCTGAGTATGCACATATTTGTATAACTTAGAGTAAAAATCCACATTTTCTAATCAAACGTCTGCTTTTGATTTTTTTGCATTGATTAAGTGATATCTTTCAACATTCACATTTTTATCCTTCACAAGATGCAACTCCTAGGATTGCCTCTTACTGTAAGAGATGAAAAATAAAAATTGAATTTTTGATTTTATTACATGTATTTTCATATTGAGAGATCGTCATTTTCCAGAACTTTTCCAAATATTTTGACCAGTAGTCCTAATTTTTAGGAAATCAATTGATGTGTTGAGTCCCTTCATAAATTTTGAAGCTGCGGGTTGTGTCCATTTAAGCGCCCATCCCTCGCACAAACTATAGTTGAAGCCCCTATAGGGGCTTCAAGAAAGCTCATTGATGGAACGGAGGACTGTTAACAAAGATTGTCAGGCCGACAATCTTTCGAGGTAACCGATGTGTTCGGGATACATAGTACATTAGATCTTGAGGTTGCAAAAGAATTTTTGCAGAAATGGTTGAAAAATTTAAGAATTAGTGTCAATTTGAGAGCCCAAATTTGTGTGTGGAATGGGTGCTTCAGCCAACTAATGAGCGCTGCTTTGCTAGTTCACTTAAACTGAAGTGGTCGATATTACACATTCAGAAATCAGCTTTTTATCAAACGTTGGGTTGGCAAACTTGCTTTGTCTCATTAATTTTTTTTTTGGGGGGGGGGGGTACATATTTGTATGGCACCATGTAGAGATAGCATCTGAGACTCTCTAATCAAGATTAATCTATAATATGTTATTACTTTGAATATTTTTTCTAAACATGCCTTTTAATTTTTTATTGTTTAGAATGTTCAAAATCCAAGGAAAGTAGCCAAATATTCTGATGATTTCTCATGCTGTGAGGCTTTGGTATTTCATACATTTTTTTTGTCTGTTCTCCAGTCCCTCAACTCCTATCTATCATTGCACATCAAGCACTTGCAATCCATTCCGCTGGGCAGATGTGGAGGAAAGAATTCATGAAATATTGCATAAATATCCGTTGAAAAGTGCCGTGTGGTATCCAGCACTGAAACTACTGCCCAGTCTTTTCCTCTTTAGACTGTCGGCATTGATATTCCACATCTTGCCTGCGTTCATTTTAGACAACACGCTAGCTCTAGCAGGAGGTAGACGCATGTAAGTATTCAAAATCATTATCCTTCAATCTTTGCCAGAGTATTTTGCAAGGGTCAACAATCTTTTTTGTGACAAATAGCTCATACGATCTATTCAAATTCGTCCAACATTTAAAATGTAAGCCAACATAACAGTGAAAGGTCATCACACTTGCAGGCTCAGGGAACGTCAATTTGATGCATGCAAGCCGTGAAGAGGAACAGTGTGGCAGGAAAGAAAACCTCTACAGCTCTGCACAATGGTCTGAACTATGATTTTCTTGGTCTTAGCATTATTGGTGATGTATTAAAGCAATCAGTTTGTGTGCATCTCCGACAAATGAAACCAAGGGATGCTCTTGCAACTATGAATGATGTCATCAACTCTGTTTTGAATAGGAAAATTTCCTCTTTAATGTACAATGTAGAAGCTTGGCTAGAAGTCTGATCTCATTATTTTTCTGGACCTCAAAGCGACAACTGGCGAAACATGACTCTGTGACTTGCCCAACTCGTTCATTTGCGGAAACCTGAATGCTATAGGTTGAAAACCTCTGGTCAAGCTGTTTTTGATAGTTAGGAAATCAGCTTTTATTACCCCCTTGTTCATCGAGCTTCAGCACTAGCTTATTATATTTTGGCATTTATTTTTCCAAGAGCAATTGTTTACCTATTTATTTATCTATTAATCAGACACAAACAATCTTTATCAATGTAAATAAAAATATCCCGAAAACTTCCTCTTGTAAAAGTAAATCATAATATTGATTCTTTCTTTTGAACAGTTTGATGCGCCTTCATAGAAATATCAACGGCTCTTTGGATCGTCTTGCCCCATTTATTTTCCAAGAGTGGATGTATGACAATCGTAAAACAGTCGCACTGCATGAATCCCTGAAACCAGCTGACCAAGAGCGCTTCGGAGTAGACATTCGTCAATTGAGGTGGCCTGATTTGTTCGATGACCTGGCAAAAGGTGTTCGAAGGTACCTCAACAAAGAATCTGACTCAACTATACCAGCTGGTCGCAAAAAGGACACCATGTAAGTAAATTCATATGCTATTTTGTTAGTTTGCCATGGTTTATACAGAGTGAACCAAAAGGCCCACACCGCCCCTATGAACCTTAATATTTTTCCCCCTTTCAAGAAGGTTCCCCTAAAATTTATTGGGTCCCCAAAGTCGTTTTCTTCGGCCCAGGAGCTTTCACAGAAGTTTAAGTCTCCAGCTCAATCTGTACAATAGTTTCAAGAGTGGTACCTGCTACTGGTGGTACTCGACTTCAGGATCATTATGCATGTGATCATGGATGGGAGAGGAAACCTTGTGCGTCGAGGCAAGCTTTTCAGTCAGTTTAGTTTTCAGTAGAGCAATTTTCCCAGCAAAAATTTATTTTGATCTACAGAGATTTCTCATTTTCACGCTCTTTTATCCAGGTATTTTTGTTGCAGGGGGAAAAAAGACAATTTTTAAGCGTCCAAGAAAAATAAGGGACCTTGAAGCAATTTTTCTAGGAAAGCATTCTTGTCAAGATGGGTAGCAAAATTATAATTATTTTACTTTTCGAACGAGCACACTATTTAGTATCCCGAAGAATCACTTACAAGCAGTTTGGTTCGTTTTCGTGCAAATAGATAGCATAAACTTGCCTTATAATAAAACATTTTCAAGCTCTGATCTTGGATTAAAAACAATTTAAGTAGGTTGTTGCTTCTTTCAAAGCTACACTTTTGAAGCTGTAAATTGTAAATGTCAAAGTTCCGTTCTGATTCGTCTTTTCTGTGTAATTTTTATTTATTTATTTTTTTTTTTAATTTTGGTAGAGTCAGAAAACTTCCAAATTTAACTTAATCTGCAAACTTTTGGGTAAAATTCAGGCAAGTATGTGCAAAGAAATTTGGACTGCATTTTGCAATTTGGACCTATAAATTCCGGCCCGGTTTAAAAACAACGTATGTGCCATTAGTTTCCCTATGCACATAAGTGTTTTTTCAGATGAGCCAGAATTTATAGGTCCAAATTGCAAAATGCAGTCCATTTGTCTGTTTAGACTATGACCGAAGCCCATGGTCTCGTTTATCTTAGCTGTTCATTAACGTGGAGCTTTCCTTTTTCAGATTGATGTTTGCCAACTACCTTGTGCAGGGCGTGTTCTTCTATGTCATTTGGTATCTGACCTCTACCGTCTTACGAACATCTTACTCTGGGGGTTTATACGCTGCATCCTCCATTTTTGCAGCAATTATGTACTTCTTATAAAATAACTTAGCCACTAAAGTCCTCAAGGTTTCTCATGAAGCAAAAACTTGAGTTCATGTGAGGGAATCAAAGGTTTAAGAAGAAGTCTGTCGAAACTTTAAGTTTACTTATACATTGAGATAAATAGAATATTTTGATGAGCCATCAGAAAAATTCTGAATTCATTTAAACTGTACTCGTGAAACTTAAAATTGGTTCTTCGAACTTTTCTCAATATTTTAAAACGTTCATGAAGTATGAAAGAAAATAATCCAGTTTTTCTGGCCTCTGGAAATTAGAAAGATCTTACCTCCACTTCCTGGCACTCCCCACCGAATTTATTTTTATCTCATTCGAAAGAATTGATATGAAACCATGTAGGACTTCCCTTATAAATTGTACACTCTGTAGAGACAAGTTCATTCTTTCTCATGTACCGTTTTCATCGCCCTCCACCACTCAGGTAAAACTGGAGAATAGCCATCGCGCAGAGTCCAAAGTTAAAACTGTGCATTTATTGATAGATTAGTTGGCTCACACTGTCTGATACCTTACTTTTCTTAAACGGAGGCAAAAAAAAAATTGGAAGTATAAGTTGGTGAAGGTATAATAAAATGCTTTCATTAAATATTAAGTTTCTGAAAGTCATGCATTTAGGTATGTTGGGAGTTTTGAGTCACTGGCATCCAATTCTTTTAAAATAATATCCATTTTTTGCTTTGAAGATCGACTCCAAAGTTTACTTTTTCCAGTGTAAATCAGTATTTAATGTTATGATTGTCCTATATTTTAGTTTTTTACTCATAAGATATTTTTTGTATTGTTTTTTAAATACAGTATTATCCTTAAAAATTGTCTCTTCATCTCAAAAGTATTTCAACTATTCCTCCCATTCTTAACAATAATATATGTAACATCTAAATGCTTTATTCTTGAAATTTATTGATTCAGTACAAACTGGTCACCGCATTGGAGATGAGAAGCCAATCAAGTCATGGTCTTTGAGCGTTCCTTGACTCATATATTAATATATATTAATTGTACATTCTTCAAGCATTAATGTGAGGCAAGTCCAGTTAACGCAGGTCAGTCATTCCTGTATGTGAGTTCAGACACCTTTCTAAGCCATGGCAGCGGGGAGTTGAAATTTAATGTACTTCTTATGGAAAAATTTCGGGATGAGCCAATGCCATGTGATACAGACTATAATGGGCGTGATTGTGGACCTCAGGAAATATGCACAGTGACTGACCTGTTTGGATTTGTCTCGATGATATGCATTGACAGTGAAACCCCTCTTTTCCTATTGTGACATTACAAAGGCAGTCACATTTCATTTGTTCAAGAGACAACAAATCTTCATAATGGGACAAACTATTCTGTTATCTTTCTTTTTTCTCTAAAATCCCTTGAAAATTTTGTCAAAAAATGTCTGGTAATATTCGGTAAAGGAACAGAGAAGGAGGGGTAATATTGAAACATCACAATCAAGATTTGCCATCTTACTGTTTAACTTTTCATATAATTAAAAAAATTTCATACAGTGCCCTCAGGACAGCATTGTTTATGTAGTAGAGAACCAAAAAATCAAAACTAGCACCCCTACCATTACAAAAAGTAAGGGGAAAACTGCAGTAAAGTAGGCCCACAGTGTAATTTGATATTTTCTAAGCCGCAAATTAGATGTCAGATATTGTTGCAAAGTTTTGAAGAAATTCAGAACATCTTTTAAAATCTTTAAGAATGCTTGCAAATTTTTCCGAAAATGTGGATTCCTAATCTTTTACTCTTAACCCACCATTTACTACAACCTAGAAAACACAGTTTTTCGGTGGAAGACCTCGATCGTTAGCTTGGTCTGGGTTACTTAAAATACATTCGCAAAGACCTATCTCATGCTTCTTTCTCAATACCTAACATCCTTGCTTTTGATGAGGAAGAAGGAGACAAGTTGAGAGACAAGTTAGGTTCTAGTTAAAAAAATGATGGATCAATAACTTTTATTATAGAATTTGAGGCTTCATAGGCAATTGTTTGCGATGAATTTTATGAAAATACAACCATTAAAGAATGGAAAACATTGAATAAACACAGAGGTCTCAAAGAATTAGTTTTATTTATTGACTTTCCAGCCTTTCACCACCCAAGGCGATACAAATTTATTTTATTAGTAACTCAGGCATTTTATAGAAAATAATTATGAATAATGAGAGCTGCAAACCGAGGACTTTTCACCTCAACTGCTTAATTGTAAAAGAGTATTGATTAAATGATTACGGCTTCATTTTGAACCTCCTTAGAAGCAATTAAGCTGAAAGAAGAAGTGGCCTAAAAACATAAGGATTTACACTATTTCTTCACTATTTTGAACAGAAAAATTACAAGTTTGCTACAAAAAAATTATATTGGCTTCATGGTGGACATATAATAGAAATGTTTCAGAGCAGAAGCTGTCTTAAATAACTAACAACGCAAACAAAAAAATAATTAAAGACAATGAGTAACATTACATTTTTAGCGCTACAACTATAACCATAATTAGTAGTTAAAACACTTTGAGATAGTGTTTGATTAAGTGTATTTTCTTCCTGCTTTCACCTTCACAAAAATGTCACTGTTTCACATGTGATGAGAAAAGGCTGGCCAGCATGCTGCAGGTCGCTTTGAATGGACTTTGCTTCTCGGGAAGAAAAAACAGTTCAATGGCGTTTTGGACTATTGGATCTTGCACTTTTTTACATACATTTTCTTCCATGATACAACAGAAACAAAAATATAACAGACTTTCAATGGGCTCAAATCTTGTGCTGGGTATTTTCAACCAATAAAAATAAATATTGGATAAAAACCAATTCAAAAATGTTCGCTCAGTTGATTCATTTCATTTACAACAAAATTTTAATTTTTCAAAACCAATCACCAACAAAGCTTCACTGTGACCCTACCAAAAATTTAAAAAATGTAGGTATCAGTAAAAACTGAACATATCTGTTAGTGCTGATATTGGCATCAATGTCACCAATGAAATCTTTGATTACACTTTTTTTATTAATAAAATTTCATCCAATTGGAAGCCTAATGTCAAATTTGGGGCTCTTAAAAGTCAGTAAATTTGAGGACAAATTTATTCAGCAACTCATTCAGCAGAGAGAATGGCTGCTGAGCCAAAATGCAAGTCAATATAGAAAAACTTGGAGAAATCAAGCGCAATGTAAATTTATGAGGATGTTGCAGTCGTAGTTTTCGTCGGGACAGCATTCAACACTGATGTGATTTCATCTTCGGTTAATATATTCAATTTTTTTAGGGAGATGAGAAGCTGCATCCGTGAATTTCCTATAAACGAATGTGTCAAAAAAGTCGGGAAGCCACGAACTCCATCTCCCATTGTATACAGGGGAACTTGAATCACACCTAACACCTGCAGAAGAAATTATAGAATAAAATAGCATTTTTTCTTAGCCGAAAGTCAATAGTGAGATAATCGCAAGCATAACTAATAAATAAGCATTTGCAGTTTGGTTTGGACAGTTTTAGATGAACTGGTAACTGGACTTCATAATGCAATGAGATATCAAGATTTCTGGATCATCCATAAAAAGATCTACCTGCGTTTGGAAACTAAAGGCACTTCAGTTGTTTCTAAAATGAGCCAGTAGTAGTGGTTTCTCATTGCAAAATTTAGTCCGATTAACTATAATAGTAAATTACTCCAGCTCTCCATTGTAAGATCACAAAGTGAGTGTATAGGCAATAAACCTCATTCCTGTTACAAAAATTACTGGGCAAAGGTTTTCGTCAGATCAACAGCAGCAGCTTGGGAAGTTCCACTTGTAAGTTAGTTATTCAGACAATAGTTGAGCAAAAGCTGCAGACCTTGAGTGGCCGTCATGTTATTAATTTTGACAATTGCAAAATTTGTTTTAATTTTTTACGGTAAAAAATGCCAACATTTTCTGTGAAGATAGAAGAACTTAAATCAGCTTTTGGATAGTTCTTCAGACTAAGTCACAAGGTGCCTGCGTATGACCCTTACCTCTGAGCCATGGTCCTTGGAGCTGAGAGACTTCACTTCTATTTTCTTGATGTCTTCCTCAGGTACTTCAAGGGCATAAAAGTGTAAGCAAATGTTTTTTTTAGTACTATAATGAGAGACGATGTGATTTTCCTCAGTTACTTTGTACGTTGATGTATCTAAATTCATTTCTTCGAGTAATTCTCGGTTGAGTGCGGTAATTTGGTCTTCTCCACTATCGACAAGACCACCTGGAAAACCAATGTAACCATCAAACCGCATTTGCATCTGTGAACAAAACGAAAATGAAAGGATAGAAAGATAAATAGAAGGATAAATTAAAGAAGTCTTTAAGAAGTCTAAGAAGGTTAAGATTTCATCACTAATCCTCACTCACATTGCTGAATTTCCTCCTACAACATACATTATTTATACGAAATATTCAGCGACATATGCCTTGAAGTTTTGTGCCTTTATTTTTTAAAATCTAAGATCAATTTACTATAATATTAATGGCCTTACTTATATTCTTTACTTCTCGGTTTAAAAAAATATAGGTAGCATAAAAGAGGATATTAGGTACCATATGATGCAATTAGACTGATTCTGTTAAAGGCCTATGTAATGGGCTGGAGCGGATAATCTTCTAATCTGATAAAGTCTGTTCTTAACCTGCCTTAAAAATTTCCATCACTTTCCAAGAAGTTCCCTAGTTTGAAAGGTCAGCATTGGACATTCGTTCAAATTTTGAACTCTGTTAATGTAAAACCATGAAATTTATGAAAGTGTAGAAAATAAAAGATCAGACATACAAATTTACACTTTTGAAACAACAAGATGCAAAAAAAAAAAAAAAAAAAAAAAAAAAAAAAAAATTACACATTTTTAGTATAAAAAATAATTGTCAATAGCTCCACAGAGTCCAAAGGATTATCAATTCATTGTCTCCCACACAAAGGAACGTATCTCATCTGCAGTTTTAGTATTTCTTACTTAAATTTTATTTGTTTATAGGAGAGGCTTTATATGAATTTTCTTTAGGTACATTTCTAGTAAATTTTCTTGACTCTTGTGAGAATAAGCTCTGAAAACAGAGCAGACAAAATACGTCATTAGGTGACTACTGTGAGATTTGTGCTTAAAGCTTCTTCACCGTTAACCATGGCAGAAAAGTACTTACGAGTACGGTTGCTCTAGGATTATAGACTCCAAAAGTTTTTTTATTCTTGCGAGCAAATAATAAACAGTGGCAGGCATTTGTTTTGCTGGAATAATGCTCTGAGTTAATTTCTTCCTTGGTTAGTTCGGTGTATTCATCAGCAGTTGATGGCCTCCCGTAAATCTCTGTGGATGCTAGATGACCCCACGTTCTGTCACCAGTGTCGCTAGCCATTTTCTTAAGTAAACCAGACTTCCACTTTAAATGCCTACTGATTCGATAAAAAATCATAACTCTTCAACACTGAAAACAAAAAAAAAATCAATAATCAATAATATCTCTGGAAGAGACTTGAGTTGCTTTGCTGAAAATACAGATGAAAATATTTACAGAAATAATTTTCCTACATGGTTAAAATACTTCAAAAATTCTCTTAAATGTGATGTTAACCTTGTAAGCCATCAAATCATAGTAACCACTCTCTTTACTGACTTCATTGATTTCCTTCTTGCAACATTTTATTTCTGCCTTCCGTTTGAAAGATGGTTGTACGTGCATTTTATGGTATTTTTTTCAAAAACCTGTTTCTAAAATTTACAACACATTGCATCAGATATCAGTGGAAAAATTTGAGTGAGAAATATCGACGGTGTAAGTCGGCAATCACATAACTCGGTTTGCAACGTCGTAGACTTCCTGTCATACTTCATGTTTAAAACAGAAAACAACTCGACAGCAATTCTTTGAAACTGCCATGATGTTTCTTCTCTGTGCGAAGAAAATTCTGCAAAAACTTCAAGAAATGGTATCAGTTTGTTCTAAAAGAAATAACATAGAGGCAGAGATTTTCAGACACCGCAAACGAATAATGTGATTGCCGACTTACACTGTTGATATGTTGAACTAATGAATGTATCATTCATTGAGTGAATATTGCAATTCGAAAGTCAGAACAATGGGCAATATTTCTTCAGGTCATAATTTTTTAGTTTTTCTTCAGTGTTTCCCCATCAAACTTTATAGGTAGAAACTATAGGTAATACCTCTGATACTTACTACCTACCGTATTATGCAACCTCCAAAATTTTTGGAAAATTTTTTCTGAAATTTAAAAATAATCTATTGATTGAGAAAAAGATCGACAGTCAAATATATTGTTTTTATGAGTTAAATGCTTCAGATTTAACTTGTTGCTGCCACTCTTGGATACTAACTACTTTGTAAAAATGAAGAATTTTGAAAAATGAAAAATATCGCTTTAAAATTGAGGGGCTTAGAGGACACGGCGCGTAAGTGCAGTTTTGAAAAAATTGAGATATTGCATACTCAACTGAAACTAGTTTGAAAGTTTATTCTGTGAAAAATTCAAGACTGAGATCCAACTTTAAAGCATCGGTAAGTGAGTTCAAACTTTCTTTCCGCTGTAAGGCTCCATGTATAAGTAACTTTGAAACTTTCAACTTGTGTTTCTTGAATTATCAAAAACTGCATTCATGCACCTTGTTCTTCAAGCCCCTCAGTTGATGAATTGACTGATTTAGTGGCTCAATCGTTTCATGGCTCCAATGCTTAAAATGCATAATTTTGTTGTACCCATGTATGCCAGCGTGGTCAAATGAGTTTAATTGGACAAATTCGACCACTATGATAAACAATCAGAACAATGACAATTTGAAAAAAGGAAAATTCAATAAATGAGGGTAAGTACATGCCAAAAAACATTGTTGGTAAAAATTTAAGCACAGCAGCTGATAATGGATCCCACGTTCTCAGAGATAGGTAAACCTATGTATCACTTGACGTTGGTAGCTTCGCCGACAGGCAATGTACTCACAGGGGGCTTCTGACCAAAACTGACTTTGAGAACATGAAGATTATCATGCAGCACTTGGGTGGGGAGTGATAATGCATGGGAAAGATATGTAAATTTGGTCAGACCTGCCAGTTTTTGATAAAATAGTTTTTATTGGCACCTCAAGACATACGATAAAAAGCATGATAAAAACGTGACTTACATTCCCCAAACCTTAAAAGCTAAGGACTAATTATTTGACGTTTAACTAGTAAGAATAAAATATCATAATCAACAAATCAGTTAGTGAGGAAAGTATTTTCCCAATTAATTACTTTTTTGCGCTTATCAGTTATTCACCTCACCTAGTCACTTGTTCACTTATCTCTTATCACAGCACAGGAAATAAACATTGCGGTCAACGTGTGACGTCACAGAAGCGCGAACGGTTACGTTCACAGACACTCACCAACGAACATAAACAAACTGAACAAAACACACGCGGCTGTCAAACGACTGATAACGACAATTTTTACGTTTTCTAGTCATAATTTTCGTCGTTTTCGACCCATTTTAGTGCCGCCGAATAAGTCTTGATTTCTCAATCAACTATTTTTGTACTGTTACTGTTTACTTTTCTCCTCAGGTAATTCGTGAGGTTTGAATTAAGAGTCATGCCTACCTGGAGTCAAATTCAATCTCAACTTCAGAATGCTAACAATCCGGTGGTTTTTTTCGATATCATGGTGGGAGCCACAGTAAGTATCGTTTTTCTAATTATGTATTACCCACTTGGCTTTGACACACCCTAGCTGAATTCAAGGCTCCGAATTGGAGATCACCGAACTTCAACTGTCTGACCGAATGGGTTTCACGTCAAGTCTGATTTCAAGCTACTTCCATCACTTGTGAGACAAGTTTTTAATCGTACACACTAAAATTCTATGATCTTCATCTAGTTAGAGCATCCTGACATGACAGTTTTGGCACATGAGCCATCGTATTACTTCAGTCATCATATCTGTCATGTCATCAGGACTGTACTTAAGAAAGAGGAGACCTATAGCGGCAAATTTTGCAATTTTTTAATGTATGTTAAAATGAAGCTCAGGATTTAGAAACCATTATCAAGGAAGGGCAAGCAAAACGTCTATCATCTTCATTCACAATAAATGCGTGAAAGGTTTCGATATCCTAAAGCTAGTGTCCTGCCCTTTAGTGTCGCTTACTCCTTGCGACGACCCTGGCAGCGGATCCCTTCCCTCTCGTACAGTGAAAGGAGTAGTTTGCCCTCCCCTTCCGCTGGTCTACTGAAACGCTTTAATCTACTTTTTCTATGCTTTTCTAATTTGCAATCTGTTTATTGGCATGATGGACTGATATTGGTCAGGGATACTCACCTCATAGCTTGAGCTACAAAGTGATTGATTCAATTTTTCAGGAGATTGGAAGAATGATAATGGAGCTTTATGCAGATGTAGTTCCGAAAACAAGTGAAAACTTCAGACAGTTTTGCACCGGGGAGTACAAACGAGATGGAGTCCCCTATGGTTACAAGGGAGCTAGTTTCCATCGAGTCATCAAAGACTTTATGATTCAAGGTGGTGACTTCGTAAATGTAAGTCAAAATAAGTTTCATTGTCAGATAACGTTTTCATAATTCCTGTTAATGTTAACTTGTTAAAATGAGAATGGAGTGAATATTTTCAAGCGTCATTGAAAAATTAAGTTCCACTACCTATTTTAAGTAAATCCTCCGAATCTAAAGAGATAAAGCAAGTTGGTAAGAAGGTACACACTTCAGGCATACTAGAGAGGTGCAGGAACTGTGTAAGCGATCTGTTGTGTGCAGAAACTCTCTTGTACACTTTCTGTATTTTACATATGATAATAACTTCCTTAATTTATCACATTACTGTTGATTGCTTGCAAATGCAAAAACTTACTACATTATGTAAAACTGAGATGTGTTCAGCCTGAAGGTACAGTATTTACTCCGTCTTTCTTGAAAATTTGATATAACTGCATAAGGGATCAAAAACGGATCAAGTCAAGATTAGTGATTAGCATCTAATGCTTTGATGCCCGAATTTTTTCGAGAATGACTAGACTTTTCAATTGTTGTTTCGGTCTTAAAAATCCGTTTTTCTGGTTGTCTTTTTGCAACAATATTCATCCATGCCCAAGGAACATCATACTACCAAAAACTCAATTTTCGATTTTTTGACACTGAAGTCTTTTTGAGAACGACTGATTCAATGGCAGACATTTACATCTCTACAAGTTATCCAAATGGTTGAAAATAGAGAGGTTACCCGCTCTGAGATGGGCCACCACTTTTGGTCCACTTTTAGTATGGTAACTTAATCAAGATCTCCTCCCCTAACTTTTGAAAGAAGTAAAAACTACATCTGAATTGAATGTCTGGGAAAATATTCTTTTTCAATGTAAAAGAAGGTACCCAAAAATGTTAACTTTAAATGATGTGCGCTGTGAATATTTTCTATGAGACCTTATTGGAAGTTTAGACATAACATTAAGCTCTGAGCAAAGTGGATAAACAGGGAGAATTCTCAGTTGCCACTGAGGATGACCTGAAAAAAATCAAAATGCATCCTAGAGTCGAAGAAATGGTACATACCAGCAAGTTCTCTTTTTTTTTTAAAAAAAAATTGTTAACAATTATTTTAACTCATAACTTTGTTTTTGTCCTTAGGGTGATGGCACAGGTTTGATGAGTATCTACGGGGGAAGCACTTTTGCCGATGAGAATTTCATTTTAAAACACGATGCACCAGGACTTCTTGCTATGGTACTTTCTTTTATAGTGATATTTACTTACAGGTATACGCGGTTTTTTACAAGGTATCAGACATCTTTTGATTTCTTTGCGCTAATTTTTATAATATGCTAACAAAAAAACCCAGTTGATGAGTGTTCAGTGTGGATAAAGAAATCAGGTCTGCTAACAGTCGAACCACCAGCTTTGCTCCGGTTTGAACTCATCAGTGAACATGCTGAACACTCCTCATCAGGGTTTCTTGTTAGTGCAACAAAATATGTCTGTCCACAAAAATACAAAGATGGCCAACACCTTGTAAAAAACCGGTCTTTCATAGAATCGACTGCCAGAGACAAACTTTTGTTTATTTGGAGTTATTTTATATGTAGATGTAGTATTTTCATCACCACTTATGAAGTAGTTCGGAATCGTCTCTCTAAATCTGTCAAAACAATAACCAAGCACAATTACACATGATGCCAAGTAAACAGCAAAATAAAGCTCCATGAACCCGTGGGTGAACCAATTAGGGGTAGCCTGAATCAATAATTCTTGGCTTTTGATGAAGCATGGAGGTTTTATAATCCTTAGACATATCATATAGTACTTTAGCACAGCAGCTACATTCCTTTCCTCAAACATTTCTTTTAAAAAAAAAATATTGCAGCAGAAACCTAACAGGAAACTGCCTTTCCTGTTAGGTTTCTGCTGCAATATTTTATCGTTTTAGCATTTTCATCATATACTGGTGGAACACACTTTACCAGCAGTATTTTGATGAGGATTCTTCTAGCTCCCTCTGCAAAGACAGCATTCATATAATTGTATATTCTTTCATCATGTGTTAGGTTTCTGTAATCTATTAATGAACTAAAAAAGGCACAAAAGCTTGAATTATTTTTGGGCTAGGAAGAAACTTAAAGGAATCCATGAATGCCTCAACATGGAATGAGGTGTTTTGATGGATATTTTTTACTTAGTTTCTAAAATTTGAGGATTGACCATCAGTTTTGTATTTTTACAGGCAAACAGTGGAAAGGACACAAACGGATGCCAGTTTTTCATAACATGTGCTAAATGTAATTTCCTCGATGGCAAGCATGTCGTGTTTGGTCGTGTAATCGATGGATTATTAGTCATGAGAAAAATTGAGAATGTTCCGACTGGACCAAATAATAAACCAAAAATACCAGTCATTATTTCTCAGTGTGGGCAGATGTGATGAAAGCAATCAAGTTTTCAGTAAGTGCTATCTTTTAATCACCACCTATTTTTTGGGTTTGTTCTTGGGTTTTGACTTCATACCTTTTCTCCGAAGATAGCGTATGGTTTAATGCTGTTAAACGTTACCACAAGATTTGAAGATCGTTGAATAGTATATTGACTACAAGCTTCAAAGGTTGTTGAATCATATTGATGGCTAAACTTGAGAAATGAGTCTCTCAGATTGCGATGTTTTATGTCTTTACTCACGTTTTATTTTTCAAAGGAAGAAACCAATAGAGTATTTTGAAATTTTCTTCACTTATCCAAGAAAATTACACAGAATTATAAGGAAACACTTTGATTAGCTTTCCTTGAAGTAAATAAAAGATGTCCGTAGATTTTTAAATGTTGCACTTGAGATAAGCATTTTGCCATCGGTATGCAATACTATTATACTCAATTTAATCCTTGACAGCAACCAACAATTCTAATATTTTCACACAAGCCAATGCAATCAGCCAGCGATAAATCGAAATTTGAATTGAGCTCCATTAAGTAACAATTTACAGTCCATTCAGTGCTGAACCAGACATCATCAAAAAATTCGAATTTCGGTTAAAGTTTTTACTTCTGTAGTGTTTTAGTAGTTTAAGTTCAATACATAATTCGTCATTATCATCTTCCTTATTCTCAAATTTCTTAAGAAAAACTAACAGCTTTTGTAAATGTTTCAGTGTTCCACAACAAACATCAAAATCCAAACTTGGGCGATCACACCTCATGGTGTGAAGGGGCGGTGATCAAAACTGGGTTTGCCAAAAATCCAGGCCAGTGCTATTTTCCTACAGATAGGCCAATTATTGTGTTCAAAGTGGAAGAAAGTGTAGTGTCCCAACTCCTATGGTTTCTCGTCAGTGCAGGTACCTTCATAAGACTCAATATTCAGGACGAAGTTTAGGAGCTATCTTTAAAATATTTTTTCTTGACTCCGAATTTTGGACGAGAGAAAAATTTTTTCAGTTGAATTCAAAACTATTCCCAACTCATTTCTTCCCGAAATGCAATTCAGTATATTTCTGTTGACTTTGGTCCAATGAAAGTACCCGCAAAAGAAATATTTTGCCAGCTCTGCTATCTGAAAGTCTCTCCGGCAGCTGTTGTTAACCCATGCACCCTTAAAAAGTTCAGTTGTGATATGTCGAGCCTCATGCTAAGATGGCAAGTTGCGTCTTGAGTTTGAAGGGAACCATTATGATCGCCGGCAAAGTCTGTTAGGTTCCCATCTTTGTTAGATAAAAGAAAAAGGAAAGCCTTTTTTGGTAGTTTCTTTGAAAACTTGACATGCTGATAGTATTCCAAACAATGGTCTGGTCAATTTATGTTGTCTGTCAACTTGCAAATTAACTTCTTTCATAACACCAGTTGTAAATGGACTACATTTAGCAATAAAACTGGCATTTCTAGCTTATCCAAAAAAACAACTATCTGCTGAAAAAAACTATCGACACACATGCTGTTTCTGAAATGAGCTAGGCATAGTAGTTCTAAATGGTAAATTTAGTCCAAATTTGAATAAAAAGCATGAGGGTCATTTCTGCAGGGGATCTTTTATATTAAACTTTTCAAATCTTTGAGCCCCTTTTTATGTCTGATATTTGTTTTACAACAAGAACTTACTACTCTGCTCAGATGAGTTCGAAGAATTTTAGCTTCTAAGGTTCAAATGTATTAACTGTGTTAAGATAATGTTTTTATTATTTTTTTACTGAATGAAAAAGAATAATACATATGTATTGAGCAAAGTGAAAAATCGCCTTTTTTTCATGGTAGTACTGTGCCTAAGTTGGTGACCTTCATTACATAACCTTCATTCATGGTGAACGAAGAGCAGGTGAATGTTGATGCATTAAATTTTAGTCTAAAACTTATATCATCATTTTAGAGGCAAAAAGCTCGTCAAAGCACTTACTCTAGAGAGCTATGCTGTTTGGTGCAACTAGTGTTTCATAATGGCAAAATCACCAACACACTGCCTAAACGACATGTCGATAGTGAAAGTGCAGAAATGCGCATGTCGATTTGTGACAGTTTTGAGTTAGCTGCATAAACTAGCAAAGCAAGTTAGCTGCTTGTTGAAGATGTCGTCTATCTGCCAACAAGAGATTATAATCGGAAAAGTCAGGAAGCCACCTAAATCCGTAGAACTTTTTTCGCGTATCTTGGGCTTAAGTGCAAAATTACGTAACACTGCAAACGAAATCCATGTTCTGGTTGTTCTACCGTCGGTATATCAGCTTACCAGCTGTTCTGTGTTTTTATTTATTATCAGGAATTCGCTGGTTTTGAAAAGTTTTCAAATGGTTATCACTCGAGGGCCCTCCAGTATCATTTCTTCATAAGTAACCTATTACTAGCAGCATGCGGCGTTCATGTCCATTATTCACTCTCTGTAGTCTTGAACTGACAGATCATCACAACGGTCAGTTATATTAGAGTCAATCGAGTCACACAATGCTTCATCTACCGTATTGGATTAACTAAAGCCTCTTAACAAGTTTCAAGTATGAATGAATAAACTCCATCTTTGATCTTAATGATCAAAAGCAGGTTCAAAACGCTAATTGCAGAAATGCATATCTTGTGATCAAATGTCATTCTCCAATCATACAATGCTTGATCGGGCCGTACGAGATCAAACTAAAGCTTTTGATGAAGGATTGTAAGCGTGAAACTCCTTTTTTTAGTCTTTTAATCAAAGTCTGCCGGCAACAGGTTTAAAACTCTAATTGCAAAAATGCATATCTCGTGATAGTGTCAAATCTTAGTGCCGAAAATGCGAATCTAGGCATTTCTGCCGTTTCTTCTAACAGTTGGAGAAATTATCCAAAGTGCTGATGGAGTCTGAAAAAGCGTCTTATTTTTGCTATCCTCAAGAATTATTACCCTGGCTTCTACTGACAATAAGGCGAATGAAGACAGCTTTTTTACTCTCCTGTTAAATCGTGTTTTCCAAGATACGCACTTCTGCACTTTCACCATCGATGTGTGTCAAACCGTAGTCAGTTCGTAGTAAGGTATGAACTGAACTTCGGACGCGTCTCCAATTGGCCGCTGATAAAAATCTGACCTATTAGTCATAGACTTGACATGAAGGGCTCAGCTGCATGAGACAGACCATGCTTGGTAAGAGACAATCTGACTACCTTGCCACAACTCTGGGACAATTTTCCCTATCATGCCTTGCTGCAATTGAGACATTTGTTCTCCTTTCCTATTATTCCATTCATCGATGCAATTGTGTTTTTTTGCTCACATTGCCTATAATGCAAAGGTATCCGTATTCATGCCCCAAGACTGCTATGATGCTACCTTACTGCGAGCATCCTTTTTTAAATTTTTTTTTTGGCTCTACTTCTGATTATGCCAGACCCTGTAAAAGTAACAAGTAGGAAAAGTGAGTACAAAATTTTAACACAGGATTGCTTGGAACACCGCTGAATGAAGTGGCATAGTGAATATGGCAAATAATTTAAGCTTTGGATTTGTGGTGTTCTCTTCCAGTACTTATAGACCATGTTTCATTAATCGATACCTAATGCATTAGGGAATGATTTTAGTTAGCGGACTTCTATTTTAGAATGTCTTTAGATTTTGAAATCATCACTTTATCAATGAAACGATGGAATGATTACTAAATTAAAACGAGTGGTTCTCTTGTGATGACACTTTAAACAGTTTCCTCTGTAGGTCCTGTGGGTCGACAACACAGAGAGTGGCACCAGAGGAAAAAACGACATGATGAGGGATGAATTTAAACCAGTTTCAACTAACTTTAAACAGCTTTATTAAAGTTTCACATTACTTTTCAGCCTAAAAAAGCTGGCATTGTAAACACCCTTTCAAGCATAAAAATTCAAATAAGAATGGGACTATTTTCACAGTTCATTATCGATTCATTCAACTTTGAGATGGTATTTCTGTCTTGATCACAATAGAAGAAGAACATGTAAACTGAGGAATAAGAAAAAATCAATAAGAACACTTGATTGAGATAATTTTGGTATTGTCAGCATGTATTTAAGGGTGGTTTTTCATGAAAATTCAATCCTCGGTTCCAAACAACTTGAACACTACCTATTACAGTAGCTCCAATGTGATGTATCATTCATGTGTATACATAGTAATATACTTCAGAAGTCAGGACTAAAATAAATGTGATGAATCCAGTGTTTGATAGTTTAAAATCAGGAAGTAAACCTTGTCAAAGTAATTTATCTGCTAAAATTCATCTCCATTTTTATTTAGACCTACTATTTTGTTGTCAAAGAAGCAATACCACCTAAAGGGCCTCAGCAAATTGAACCGTAGTCACTTACTCAGCAGTAAAAAAACAAACGAGGGAATTGTACTTGACAAATAGGACCTCTGCAACATACCGCCACAATTGCAATCGGAAGACCTCTCATCCTCCAGTTGCTCCATTGCACTGACAAAAATGACCACTTTTCACTCATTGTTGCAAACTTTGGAATTGCACGAAGGGTATATAATTTCTTAGACAACAAATTACAAAAGTCCACTTTCTAGGGAGGGGTGGGGTTAGAGATATTTAATGGGCCTGTTGCAAGCTTTTGCTAGAGCAGAATTAAGAGTTGTTTCCTATAGATATTGCCTCAAAAATCACGATGAGCGCATCGGCAAAGTCTGAAATGCACTCATAAATTCACAATCTGCGTAAGAAATNAATCGGAAAGTTTGATTTCCCGCGAAAGTCGGATTACAGCGCCCGCATAAACCCGACGGAGGAAACTTGCATTACAAACTCGGGTTTCATGAAACCCCGGTTTCGAGCCTCGCATAAACGTAGCTGTTAACGTAAACACGCCGATTGTTATCTGGTCTAGTCCTGCTCAGGAGTTATCTCGTCCCATCACACGTGTTTTGGCGGATTGGTGTCGGCCATGATGAGTATTGCCGCCAATGGAACGACTCCTCTAAGAAAATGTTCACCTGTGCCGTAGTATCGTTTTTGAAGCGGGAAGCTCAAAAAACCGCAAATTTCTTACGCAGATTGTGAAGTTATGAGTGCATTTCAGACTTTGCCGATGCGCTCATCGTGATTTTTGAGACAAGATTTTGAGATTCGTGAGAGACAAGAGACCCTCCACTGGCCTCCTAGCGACAGGTGGAAGCTTTTACTTTCGGGGTTTCAACAATTCCTTATGGACAATTATTAGGGAGCATCAGTCATCACCCTAGTTTCGGCTGTTGACTTACCTACATGGTCGATGATAAGCTTCGGATGACGTCATGAGCCAAACAACTTTCCCAAACGTCGGCCATTTTCGGCTTGTTTGCAAAACGAAACTGCCAACACGTTGTTGAACATCAACCATGTAGGTAAGTCAACAGTAGAATGCTGAAGTCCCGAAAGTAAAAGCTTCCACCATGGCCAAGATACTAGTGGAGGGTCTCTTGTCTCTGGACGAGATATAACACCTGAACTGGATTAGACCGGATGACAATCGGTGTGTTAACGTTCATATTTTCCACGCCCGAATTGATTGACCTTGAACTCTCCTCGAATCACGCACGGAACTGCGAGCAAGCGTCGGCCATGATGAATATCGCCGCCAATGGAACGACTCCTCTAAGAAAATGTTCACCTGTGCCGTAGTATCGTTTTTGAAGCGGGAAGCTCAAAAAACCGCAAATTTCTTACGCAGATTGTGAAGTTATGAGTGCATTTCAGACTTTGCCGATGCGCTCATCGTGATTTTTGAGGTATTATCTGCAGGAAACAACTCTTAGTTTTGCTCTAGCAAAAGTTTGCAACAGGCCCATTGTCAGATGTTCAAGCTGAAAGAGGGCTTGTATTAAAAATTTTAGAGAAGCAGAATTTGTAATTACGTGTTCCTTCTAGGAGGTCATGGAATCATTGCTATCCACTTTTATCTTATTTTCATTCATCAAAAGCTTTTATTACTTTTTTCTATTATTATAGTAGGATCGAATAACCCCAAAATCAAAGAGGCTAATGGACGTGCTCAGAATTTTTTTAAGTTACTTTTGTTTTCCTTTAAATGAACAGTTAAGTTCAACTTATAGAAGCTTTGAAAAAACAGTGAAAATTTTACTTCTTGTCTCTCACAGAGGGTAAAAGCCACCAATCAGAAAGTAGAAACTGTTGGCTTTAAGTTTTTTTTGGACAGAAAGGCAAAAAGATAACAGATTCATTCAACATGCATTCACTTTGCACTGGAAACTTGGATTCAATGTCTGACAAACAAAAAAGATGAAAACAATGGAATAGTAGTTAGGCATGGTCATTAATATTACTTGATAAAGATGAAAGTAAGGATGAATTAAGGATGACAAAATTACAAGAGATATATAAATAAATAGTTAAATAAATGAATAAATTAACAAATAAAGTCTTTCAACGATGCTAATCATAAATTTACAAGTGGTAATGTTAATCAGAGACTTCTACAGAAAATGAAACGGGAAAAGCAGGGGGAAAAAATTTAAAAAAACTACCAAAATTATCTACAAAATTTCTTTTACAACACAATTGGTTCCCTGGCCTTGATATTATGACTTTTTGAGCAGGATTTGAAAAAAATGATCGCTGACTGGGATAACTGAGCCCAAATTTTGTCAAGAAATACAAGCCTGCATCATTGACCCAGATCTTCGATACTGACCACCAAACATACTCTAGTGGACTTAAGTGAAGTCAGTATCTACAGTGTATTTTAGCAGGATTGTTTTATCCGACAAAATCTGAGTTCTGAAAGTGAAATCCAGTCTATGTGTACTTTATATGACATGTTTTCAGAATCCTAATCTTGTTATAAGGGTTACTACATGGTCATGTGGTGTTCTTTCTCCTTAACCCTTTGCTCCCAAAGCTGGATAGTGCATGAGGCACTCATTTTTTTTGGTCTGCATTTCCTAAACATGAACCTTTTTCGTTCGACACTCTTGCTTGTATGAATATAAGGAGTCGTAAAAATGGACTGAAAATGTTTCACCATCTTCAATGTTAAGTCTTAGAAAAATATTCAAAGGTCTTGAGATGATCAGTTTTCAGTTATTATATCGAGTTTTCAATGTTAAAGGCTGGTTTATCCTTAGATTTTTCAAGTTATTCCAATACAAAATCTTCTGCCTGAAATGTAAAATATAGGGGTCCGCGAAGCTTCGCATTGCTTCGCATTTTGCGAAGCGAAGCGAAGCTTCGCTTCGCTTCGCAAAACGGAGCGCGAGGTCGGGAAAAGCGAAGCAAAGCGAAAATTTCGCGGTAATTCAAATTTTCGCGCGCTTTCGCAATTGATGCCGAATGCCGATGATTGATGGATACCGTGAGCCGGTTCTTTGCGCATGCGCTTGCGGCCGTCCCGCATTATTTCAACCTAAACACAACAACAACAACATAGCGCCGTCTCTCGTCTCCTAACCTCAATTCCATCATATTTTTCCTTATCACAAACGCGGAGTGCAGTTATTTAAAGTTTGAAGTTTCCGAATCAGTAATGGCAATGGATGATGACCACATTGATCTCACAGAACATGAGGAAAGCGACACAACTGAAAAGGAGGTAAACAAAGCTAGTAACACTGACGTTCAGATAGATGTGTCTAAAAGGCCATTATTCAAACATTATGTATCAATCAAAGCAAAAGACCGAAAGGACCAAACAGCCAAGTGCATTTATTGTAATCTCATCTTGTAATAACAAATGTTTATCTTATTTGTTCCTACGTCTTATGAGACTTTTTTACTTTGTGTTCTTGTTCTTGAATTGAATATAAATAATAAAATTTCTTAAGAAGTTTAAATCAATGGTTTTTAAATTATATTTACCACAATTTTTTAGGTATTTCTTTGTTTTACATTAAATTAGATAAAAAAAATTAAAAGGAAACTAAAAATAAAAAGTAAAAACAGTTTTTATTTTTTATCATTCCGTGATCATTAAAGCAAAACCGATGACAAATTTAAAAAAAAAATCTTAGATCTGCTGGCATCTCAATAAAAATTCATTCTTAAAATTTAAGGGAAGAGGGGGCAAATTTAATGAATGTATTTTTCACGTATTTCCCAGTGTTCAATGAAATTTACCACTGCCGCACGCTGAGTCGCGGCTCGCTGGAGTAACCGCTACGAAATTCCGCGGGTTGCATCCAGCGTATTTGAAGGGGTTTTTTTGTCCGCTTCGCTTCGCATTGCTTCGCAAATTGCGAAGCGAAGCGAAGCTTCGCTTCGCTTCGCTTCGCCTTTGAAAATCGCCGCTTCGCGGACCCCTAGTAAAATAATTCTTACATTTTGGCTTATTGATTTTACTCGAAAATTATAATCAAGAAATTCAAAATTTAACCGAATAATTCAACCGGGCATATCATGAAGATTAAAAAAGCTTTTTGAAATGCTCCAAGAAATAATAATCGGAAACCAGACATTTTATAGTAATGGCACAACCATAGGGATCAAAGGGCTAAGTTTGCCACTTTTAGTGGCAGTGAGAAATACATACTGCAGAATTCAAAAATGAAACATTACAGAATTGTTGCAGTAAGCAGAGTAACATAGTTGCCCATTCAAGCAAAATCGAATTTCACCTACTTTACAGCATCATATTTTGTTTGGTAAGGGCATTTTTATCAGTAAACTGAACTAGCTAAAATAACAGTCCCCTACATTGAGGACAAAATTAGAGACCTGGTGTGGTATGGACACAATCAGAGGGTCATTACACCTGCCCTGGTGATGGGCAAATTTTTCTGTGAATAAGTAAAATTAAGTAATATAATTGGCTACAAATAAAGCCAAAACAAACAAATACGTCAAAGATTCCAGAAATATTTCTGAGGAACTGAAACTCAGCTTTAATTTTGAAATCTCATAGTCGAGAATTGAAAAAAGCAATGCTGCAAATAGGTTCTACTAAAACCCTTTCCTATTATCAAAGATCAACAGCACTATGAGATACTACAACTTGCATCATGGATAATACTGATAATATTCGCAAATTTTAGACTGGGCTGAAGTTTCGGGCAGGAAGTACATGTGATTAAAGACACTCATAGGAAACTAGGACAAGACACAGCGTAACAAGCATGAGGAAAAAAAACAAAATATAACAATTCACTTGAAACAATCTGCATTCCTTCCAGAAGCAGGTGACAGATTTTGATAAAAAATAAGCTTGGAAAAAAGAAACAAGCTATATGTTTCATGATTAAATTTGGGACCCCATTTGTATACAAAGAAAATGAGACAAAAAAATGACATACTTCGGTACGTCTTGCGGTTTTAGTTGGTAGTAATACTGACCTTGAAACCTATCCGAGATGTTTTTCTTGGATTGAAGTTCAAAACTTATAGACTAAAGGTTACTTGCAGAGTTTCTTTGGTTTCATTCTTTGGTCATGACATAAGTTTGACCCAGAGAAAATCTAAGAGAAATGCAGCAAATTCTCACGATTGAACATGATTGATTTTTTTATCATATTCAATAATTGGGCATTTTTCCGCATCATAATCAATTTGTCATTTGTCTCAGCAGCAGCAAGTCTGATCCATCCACTGAAAATTCTGAATTCAATTCTGGAAGAGTTTGATGCTATGTTTTACAAATTGAACCATCGATTTCTAAATTTTCTTCAGAATTTCCTGGATTCATCCATTCTTGTCTCTTAGAGGATGGAACATCTACCAAACATCCGCCTCACTTCACCAATTCATGAAGCAAATCGTATTCAATCGCAAAGATTCGCTTACATACTAATGGAGAAAATTGTACAATAAAAAACAAAACTAATGCACAAACACAATGTAGTAAAGTTAGCATTTTCAGGAAGATACCTTCGCATCTAAAGAGAAAACTGAGACATTCAAATGACCTCGGAGACAAGGATGGAATCAGTGGGAAATTACCCATGAAGTCTCTCCTTAAACGAGTAGTATACCTTTTCCTGATAATTTAGATTTTGGCAGACTGATTTTTGTAACACTTAGGCGAAACTTAAGTTTACTATATTGTTCAAATTTAGGATCTGTAAAATGACACTGAGGCATAGCGCTACAATCAATTCTTAGCAGAGTTATCAACCAGTTTTAACACAAATTTGTTGGAACACCATGACTTGTTAAAGCTTTGCAAACTGAAATCTTACAACTCTTTGGTCTAATACAGTACTTTGGTCATTCTTTGGTTATTTTTCAGTCGCAAATCTCTTCAAAACTTCAGGTTTCAACTCCTGTAGGACAAAATGCAGGTAAAAGAATACATAGCTACTATGAAAGATGCAAAATTATAATAAAATATACAGATGTCTTTTTAAAGTGCTAATTACACATCCTAATTCAATCTCTGATACAATATGAGAAATATACTTAAATAAAAAAAAAATTAAAAAATATCCGTAGACTCCGTAGAAAAGGCTCCGTGAGACATGATTATTCGGTAAAATTTTATGACTTATTTTGAAAACATTTGGCGCTAATTATTCGAACTGCATCAAAAAAAAATTATGAGCAATGATACTGATGATGATTCTCAAACGTACGGAATAAATCTTAGAACACGCAACACCATGTCTAGAAAAGAGAACCACGATTGCCGCACAGCTTTTGAGCGCATGAGTAAGACACGCCACACAGCCAACAGCATAATCATTTGCGATAATCGGTGCAGCCACAATAATCTGGGGAAAAAAAGATTAGGAGATGAGATAAAAAGAAAAAAGAGAGGAAATTAATGAGTTTAAGAGTTTCGACAGGGTGTCCTCTAGGATCCTTTAAAAATGTACGAACTTCTTTGCAGCTGACATTTAAACAACTAGATGTAACAAATAAGGGATTTTGTTCCTGCCCCTTCATTAAACCATAAACAGAAGATCAGAATTTTTAACAGCTTCAAATTCTTTTGGTACCTCATTTTTTTCAACAATCCATTCTATGTACCTTAAACTTTTATGAACTCATAACTATCAAAAAGAAAATCGAAAAAATTTGTTTCTTTCAATTTAACAAGATGTGGTACAGCCAGCTTCTAGCCTCTGGTAATTAGAATTTTTCAGAGACATAAAAAAATCTAACCAGAATAACATCCTACAAAAGGTTTCTGTTAGATGATTTCAAGCGGTTTTTTCTCTTCACTTATTTATGTTGCAAAAACAATTGGATTAAAACAATTGAAATCATTCGTTAAAAATGAGGTGTAACAGTTGGCAAGATTTATCATTTGATTTAGCCAGCATCAAATCTCAGCATCAGCGCTTAATGCCCGCCCGGCCGGCATTGGGCTTCGATGCCCAAAGCCAGCGCCGGCAGGTTGTGCGCATTCGGCGCGGCACTGCATGCCCGCAGGGCCACTACATGGGCATACGGCATTATTGCGAAAGCTGCAAGCCAATGCTGTACGGCATAACCTCATAAAGCGCCTCAAATCCCTGTGCTCAACTTGATTTTTATGCGGTTTTACCAACATAGAGAGTGCTCGGTAAGCTGTATCTCCTCCATCCAACAACGCCATTTCTTGCCTTGTTACAGATGGCAAAAGCTAGATAAGAAAAATAAATAATCATAAGGCTACTTACTTATTCAATTGTTTTCTAGAATCTTCAAGTGTATTTGGATGCTGCTTAAAAATAAATTGTCTTATCCCAAGAACATAAGATTCAATATACGAAGCCCAGTCGATTTCATTAACATCAAAACAGAATTCTCTCCTATCATCCACCGATAAGGACATATTTAAGGCTCTAACATTGTCATCTAGAAAACGCCATTGCTGCGTTGAAAAGTATTCTAAACATTTTGCTGCTTTCTCTAGTTTTCCTTGAATATTTACCATCCTAGAAAAAAAATCAATCAACCTTTACAATATGTTTGAAGTAGAAAAAAAAAAAAAAATCAGTCAACCATTACCGTACATTTGAGGTAGTAAACGCATACTACAGTTAAGTGAAACAGTCACACATTGCAGTCCATACTGCAACGTTTTGAAATCTCATTTCCTACTTAAATTTTCTGGAAGGAAATCAGCCAACGTTTTCTTTCAAAATTGAGTGGAAATAACCTTGGTACATATAAGCAAAAAAAATGCAATAATTTTTAAGTGGTGATGTTGATTGGTTTCCTTCCAAAAAATTGAAGGAAGAGATGAAATTTTTAAACGTTGCAATTTAGATGTGACTGTTTTGCTCAATTTGAGTTAAATATGAGTTTCGAAAGCACAGTGCAATAAATTCACGTATCTCAGATTGTAACTTCCAGACTTCCCATCATGCTTAATTTTAAAAATGGAAAACGACTCAACATTAATTCATAAAAATTTCCGTAATTCTTCTTCTCTTTGTGAAGAAAATTTTGTGAAAACTTTACGGGATGATGTTGATTTGCTCTCCTCTAGGAGAATGAAATGAGAGCAGAGATTATAAAATACTGCAAACCAGGGTGTCTACTAAAACAGGCTGGCCAAAAATCAGTACTTTTACAGTACTTTTTCAGTACATTCCCCAGAAATTCAGTGCCTCCTCAACAGAAAAATTCAGTGCTTTTTCAGTGCCTTCTCAATAGAAAAAATTAAGTGCTTATTCAGTGCCTCCAATTGATGGAATTCAAAAAATTTCGAAAATTGGAATTTCCCGCTCAAATTGCGACAAAAATGCAAAAAATTCAGGACCTCTTTGCTAAATTTCTGCACTTTTTCAGTACTTCCGGACCGCCCTTGAAAAATCAGTGAACTTGCAGAAATTCCGGACCTGTAGACACCCTGGAAACAAGCTATGCGGTCCGCAAGTTTCACCGTCGAAATATAAGGGTCCTTAATGAGGAGGGCCAAGAGCATTCGATGAGCCACTATTTCTTGACTTTGTTTGAAGCTTTAAAATTGGACTACATTTTGCGATAAGGTACTAATATTTCTGTCTCATTTTAGAAGCATCAGTTTCCCATAGCAGATAGGGTGCTTCTAAAAATGAGCCAGAAGTAGTAGTTTCATAAGGTCCAGTTACTTGATCAAATTGAGCCATCAAACTGAAGCTCTAATTGGTGGAAAAAGACCTGAGGTGAGGATGCGACCAATGAGAGGCCCAATTTGATCGTGTAACTGGACCTATACTGCGAAATGTACATCAATTACTGCTCATTCTACTAAAAATTACTTTTGCTTCTTCAGAAAATATTATGAGCTTCTTTGATATTTTGTCTGAAGAAAAACATACATTTTCAGAAGCAAATAACTCCCGATATGAAATAAAAAAAAAAAAAAAAAACCCAAAAAAACCCAAAAAACTAAACAGACCTGGCAAGGGAAAAGACTTCAGAGATACATTCATAAAAAAGGAACAGTATTCTTTTTGCCTCCATCAGATCAGATACAAGACAGGAAAATACTTACATTGGTTTTTTTCCTGTAAATCGTCTGAATAGATCAATAACGTGAGCCGGTAGAATGTGGAAAGTAAAAGCATAGATGGAATTTAGGAGCCAATTCGACTGACACTGCCCGTCAGGATACCACATTAAATCACAAAGAGGGTTTCTCCTCATGGCTAAGAAACTGTAGTCAACGAATTCTCTCCACGTAATCGGCACTTGCTGACCAGTACAACAATTATACACCATAATTCCATCACGCCTGGAACAAAATAACAACCTAATTAATTGAACATACTTTCATTCAAGGATTTTTGAATTCAGTTGCTCCTGGTCAAAGACACTATCTCTATAAGCAGTTCACAGTAGTTGTACGCAGTCTACAGTACTAGGACTGCTTGCAGCAATATATAAATAATTTTTCAGGAGCTACGTGTGCAACCTGCAAAAATTATCACAGAATTTGAAAGGAAACTTCAAAATTTATTCTTGATATTTTTTCATGAAATTTAAATATTAAGATTTTACTGTTTCTATGCTTGTCATGGCATACCTACTGAGTCCTTTGCTTAAGTTTTAATAAATTTCATAAAATTCATAGAGAAATTTCCTTTGATGAAGTTTCATGAAATTTTGCATCTCTACATAAGAACAAAAAATAAAAAGGTTTGATTTAATCCCTCTCTAAAAAGGGGGAGGGGGGAGGGAAAGAGTAGTTAAAAGATAGGTGGCTTAAGTCAAGGCTTGAGAGTTAAGAAATGAGATTTTTAGATAGAAGTTTTGAACTGGTAGCCGTTTCTCTCGGGTAAAAAATCCACTCTTCCCTCCGAGGGATGTCCTAAATTCAGGATGGACGCAATATACACGTATGGATGGATCAAAGCTTATGCTTACTATAATTATGGAGCACTGATATGACTGATAAAAGTCAGCGCTAAGTATTAGGTAGAAGTTTGAGGTTTGGTTTTTTGGGGAAAAAGGACCCTGCATGGAGAGGACATGCTCACAGATAAAATATTTCCTCTTTGACAACCTTTTTGGAGCAAATCCAGTAGAAATGATAAGGCAGATGTTGTTTCACTGTATTACCTTGTTGAATGAGCTGTCCTCCAAGCAGCACAAATCATTAAATTGATAACTATGTCAACTGGCACAAGATCTGCAATTTTTTCTTCATGACATAGCATCGTTCGAAAAAAGCCCTTTCCTGCTGCTGCGATGATGCCGGTTGGTCCATTCCAATTGTCCACCCAGCCAGCTACAGGCTCTTTGAGGGATGACAGAACTAAAATGACAAAAAAACCGACCATCATAAGTATGATAGTAGACTAGTTATAAACAAGGTTATTAATATTTTCTACTTTCTGAAGACCCTGGCTTTGCACCGGTGCAAAGCTTACTAAAACCACAACCAATGACCTCACAAAGATTTCTAATTGGCTGAATCAAGGACGCTTAAGGATCTTTCAGAGCTTTCGAAACATTTTTCAGTTACTTTTAATGATGTGCCAAAAACTTTTAATATGAGGTATGATAGATTAGAAACCGAACTATGAATATTTCACCAGATGATCCAGTTGAAATTTCTATGGGCTTATCTAAATGCTGCTAAACTAAATAAATATGCTGGTTAAAAAAAGGTTAAAGGCTGAATAAAAGTATCCAAACTTTTGACACATTAAGAGTAGTTATTTTGATGAGTGTTGTAGTTGTGCATACTGCTGCAAATTTTATAAAAATGTGGAGGAATAAAAGGAAGATGAGACTCACAGAGTCAAATCGAGCTTGACAACTAATGAGTTTTGTGTGAACTAAATTCACTAAAAAGCACAAGTCGATGGTTTTTTAACTCCTCAGGAACTTCCAGTTGCGAACTGAATATTTTATTTGAGTCGGTTTAGGCAATTGTAACTCAAAAGTTAAACCCTAAGTACATGCTTTCTGCAATTTGGGTGCTAAGGTTGTTAACCCAAGCACAAAAAGAGGAGCTCATTCCCATCTACTAATGGCTGCTGCATGCAGAATTGCAGATGCTGCTAATTTAAGAGAAATTATCACTTATGATGAAACAAGGGTGTTGGGTGATATCATGGTCTTACGATTACCCAAAATTGCAGAGCGAACTTTGGCACATCTGAATTGCACCGGTGTTAAAAGTTGAACCATTGTAAAATTATTAAGTAATAAATAAATAGAAAAAATGGGTGGCACATACCGATAGAAGGTCTCACTATTGATACAGGCAGATTGCCACTTTCTTTTAAGAGCATATCTTCTGCTAGAGCTTTAGTGAATGTATACGTGTTGGGTCGATTCCCAATTAATCTGTAGACAAAATTAAAAGGCGTCAAATAAGAAGAAGGCATGCTAAGAAAAGTTTTGCAGAAACTTTAGGGTGACACTTTCTATCCATAAATTGCAAGAAAGTAAACAACCATTTGTAAGTTTGAGCTCTTCGATTTTTTTCCCAAAACAGTTACCTTCTAAAACAACTTAATTCTAATCTCAAACAAAATTTCATTACTTCTTTATTGTGTGAATAAAACATTTTGAGAATAAAAATCATGGTTATAGTGTTGTATATTAGGTAGGTGATGATCAAAGGTGAATCTAAGACAATTATTTTTCCAATTAGGGAAAGTGCAAAATTTCAGTCTAGTTAACTTTAGTAGAGGAAATCAGTTGAAATTTATTATTTCTCTTTCAAATTTACTTTCTGAAAATCAAAGAAAAAGCTTTGGATTAATTTAATTTCTAGTAATAAAATGTTAGCAGGGATTGTCAACCCCTGCTAAACAAATTTTAAAATCGCTGTAAGCACTCCATTCACTTTTAGAGTAATAAAGATGTGTAAGAGGTATATTTTGGAGGAAATTATACTCTATATCAGAATCTTATGTAAAATTTTCTTGGTTCCCATGACTCCTGAACGCAGAGCCTTAAAAACTTTCAGCGCAATTAGCTCAAAATGCCAAGTCCAGGCATCTGCTATCATACATGTGACGCTTCATAGATGTGAGGGATTCAAGTGCACAAGTTTGCTGAGTGTATAGCGACTTGAAACTTACTTAGGTGTGAGTGCTTGGATTAATTCATTGTCCATCCATTCCATGCAGTTAATTATTTTTTCGGGATCGTAGGGAGGAGGATAAATTACTTCTTTAACTTCTTCTCGATCACAATTGCAGTATGCTGTTGAAACATGGATAAGGGCCTGCAAAAGATAAAAAGCAAAAGTAAGATAAAAGTACACAAATGATGAGGAAAAATATCTGGGGGAAAAGGGAAGAAAAACTGCGGACAACGATGAAATTGAGGATTGTGAGCTGCCACGGATAAGTTTCACATGAGTGCATATTTTGAATGTATTATATTTTTTGATGATTTTTCTAAAAACACCAATAGGAAAAACTGAGTATATGACTTCACCTATACTTTTGCAACATTTATTTCTTCTACTTTGCGTTCAATCCACATTTTCAGCTTGTCTTGCTTGTGAGCAAACAAGATAATCAAAAATGGAAGTTCCCCTTCAAGTAATAAGATCATTAGTTGTGGCTATGGTAGCAATTTTCGTTGATTCTCGAAAATAACTGGACTTATTTAAATCGAAAGGCACTGTCTCCATTGTGCCTTGGGTCCCAAGACCCATGAGAATACACGCATAGCAGGGCCCATGTCAAAATGGAGACACATCTTTTGGCTTTAAATACGTCCAACTTCAAAATGAGAACAGTTTTTATCACTGAGTCTTCAGGACGTTAATATTAATTGTTTGAGTTTAAACTGGAAGACAAGATTTCAAAATTTGCCACATTTTTTGTGCCTTCTGGAAGGTGTAGAATACGAAAAATTTTTTCGTGAGAACTTATTGTTAAGAGTTTTAAAAATGTTTGAATAAAAAAAATCACGCTTACTTCCACTGAAAAATACTTTGGTGGAAGTGAGAGATTTTACTTTGAAAATGTCCAAATTGAACAGATTTTATTGTTTATTAAATGGTCGATTGAGTGCCAAACATGTTTGGAATTTTTTTTCGAGCAACTTGATTTCCGAATCTCAAATTTCACAAAATTCGAGTTAAAGAATCACAAATTGATTTCCTGACTCGTAAATTTTAAAAATTAACAGCTTATACTGAATATTGAATAACTAATCTAGTGCCAAACTTTTTAGAGATTATTTTTCTCAATAGGCCTACACTTTTGAAACGTTAATTTCACATAAATCAAAATTAAAAAAGAGCAAATTGGTGTCCAAACTTGTGAATTTTTTTTTTAAAAAAAATTGAAGTTTCTCTTTCAGTAAGAAATAAACAGACACTGCTACAAGAGATAATATTGATAAATGTCTCTCTAGTTACCCTTCAACCAAAGTATCATAAGTGTTTCAAAATTTACGTCGCGATTTCATTTTTTTACGGAGAAATTGTCGGTTGAATCAGTTCGAAAATTTCACTGAATTTTATCGGCAGCACAAGAAAATTCAGTGAGATTTTCGGACAGCTTCGTTGAAAAATTTCTCTGTAAAAAAATAAAATGGCGTCGGAAGTCTTGAAACGTCGCATGGCGCTTGTGATACTTTGGTCAGAAGATGAGAATCTGTCCCTACTCGTCATTTTGAGGAGGGTGCAAACAGAAAATAAAGTAATGAGGCTGGGAGTGAAATAATTACCCTGAGACCATGCATCCGGTGGCAGAGCTCTACCAGACGTTTGGTTCCTAACATATTTATGGTAACAGAAAGTTTGAGCGCCTCGTCGAATTTCACAGTGGCCGCCGAGTGGAAGACGATGGACACGGTTTGGATGAGCCGCTCCTCGTCCATCGGGCTGATGCCCAGCCGGGGTTCCGTGATGTCACCCAGAATAGGAACTATTTTGTTTAATTCACTAGGCCGCTCCTGTCTCAGCCGCTCAAAGAGCTGTAACAAAACAAAGGCAAAATCCGCATCAAATTACTTATTCCTCAAATAAATTTACACCATATTAATTTATGGTGTCTACCAGTTACAAAAAACCAAAATTGAGGACTTCCGGGGGCTTTCAGGGGTGTTTTTTCAAGAAAATTGGGGACTTTTTTCCCCGAAATAGTAAGAGGAAGGGAGCTAGTTAGAGCGTCCCAACTCATCTGGGATTGTACGATTTCTTTACTTTCACTTCCCTTTAGTTTTCGGGATAATGAAGGAGTCCTGCATGCCTATTGTTTGCACAAAAGCATGTAACACGCGCGAATTAGAAGCGCGATCAAAATTTTAGAGTCCTTAAAGTTTCCAAAAAGACAAAAAGAAAACGCTGGCTAAACATCAACCTGTATTTCATTGCACGTGCAACCTGTGCACAAAGGAACATTTGCCTTCCTTGGAAATTAATGAATGTTTTCTTACGCTTCAACATACAGTTTTTTCTTGGGAAACGAAGTCTTTCGTATAGGAAGAGTTTTCAAATTTTTTCTGGTGCCCAAGGAATTTTCGCGAAAATGCTGTTGACATGGCCAACGATGAGCAATTCTTGGCCAATTTCGGAGCGTTACCTTGGCTTAAATGTGTTGCTCAGTCAATATTCGACCTTTTTGATGGAAATTCATGCCACACTTGCGAAATAAAAAATTCTGGAAAGAAGTAAGAGACGGGGGTTTTTTTTAGCTCCATTTTTAATTTAGGCCGTAAATGACGGACAAAATTTCTGAATTTTCCTTTAGAGATTTTGCCATATCCTAAGGGAGATACTTGCACGGTATCGAGCAAGCATGTTTATTTATTTGATTCTTTTTGTCACCCCCCCCCCTCCAAATTAATTTTTATCTGTTAAATGATCCACTTTCATCAAGTGACTCTAATTTAACGAGAACGGAGTGACAGCAAATGATAATTTTGGCTCTCTCGTATTTAATGGAATATTCGTAGACCTTTGAATCATTTTTGGACGGACTTTAAAAAGAAAGGACTTATTCAAATCTTTCCGAGCTAGTGGACACTTTGGAATCAATAATTTTCTTTTCTTCGGTATTTAGAAAGAAAAACTAAGCATAGCACAGAGACCGAGGTGACGGAGGCAGTTAGCTTGGACGCAGTTACTCGCCGCAGAAAAAACGAAAGCTACGGGGAGCCTTCATTTTTGCGAGTAGATAACTATTGTGGCTCGTAGGATGCTTCCTGGCCGAGCGCGAAAAATGAAGGCTAAAGCCGGCTCCAGACTACGCGGCATTCGCCGAATATTACTCGCCGAATACCGAATATTTGGCAAGTCCCGCGTAGTCTGGATGGAACATTCGCGTCCACTTGGCTCGTGTTGACGCGAGGCGAGTCACTCGGCTCGGCATTCGCCCCAACCCGCTGAAAGTCGGTTTTTGTGACACGAGTCAAAGGGATCGCGAGTGCGAAGCCTAGCGTCCATCGCGACATCGGAGCAACATCGGGGTGCCATCCAGACTACTCGTCCTCACTCGCCGAATGTTCGCTATAGTTTTGTAGGAAGGGGGCGAAGAGGTGCAGCGTTTTCCAGTGTTTTTTCTTCACTTGGCGAACATTTGTCCTATCCCATCAGATATTCGTTATTTACCAAATGACGAGCCAAGTACGACTTTCACGAGTAGTGTGGCGCTGTACACTCGTGGAAATATTCGAATCTGCCCGTCGATTCCCGAACCCCGAATATTCGTTACTCGGCTCGGCACTCGGCGAATGCCGCGTAGTCTGGAGCCGGCTTAAGTGAGGAGCGCCGCGCCGAGGTTTCCTTTATCTTTCCGTCAGACGAGGCCGTTCGCAATCGCTCAGGATTTCCCTTCACGACGCACAATGGATCGAGTCCATAGGAGAAGTCGAACAAAATTTGCAAATCTTAAACGCTTATAACTCCGATTATACAAGGCTTAGAAGTTCTAAAAGTGGTCTTATTGGTTTCCTTGCGAAATTTTCTTCGAGGAGCACCCCTGGAAGTTTGAAATTAGACGAAATAAACATAAAATTTTGCAGAATGGAGATGTTGCATGTGTGAGGAATTTGCGATTTGACTGTTGATTCTGACGTAAAAGTTCGCGAGAACCACGATGGTGCCACGGATTTTCTCTGGAATCAACTGCCAAGCTCAAAAAAAGCTCTCAAGTTGAAGCAAAAATGGAGGGGATATCCAACGCTATCCTGAGAGTCCACCTCTACATCAAGACGAACTCTCCATGCAAACAAAGATAGGGAGCAAATACATTAGCAGTGATGCCGCGTTTTCAGTTTTAGAGTCCCCAAATAAAGTGGCAGCCCTGTCAATGTATTCGCACCCTATCTTTGCATGGAGAGTTGGTCTTGATGTAGAGGTGCACTCTCAGGATAGCGTGGGATATCCCCTCCATTTTGGCCTCAACTTGAGAGCTTTTTTTGAGCTTGGCAGTTGATTTCAGAGAAAACCCGTGGCACCATCGTGTTTCTCGCGAACTTTAACGTAAGAATCATCAGTCAAATCGCAAATTCTTCATACACGCAACATCTCCATTTAAACGAGGGAACTGAAGTAAAATCCAGCCACATTGGTAGTAAATAACACTTGGTCACAGCCAGCTTGGTGGAAAAAGCCGTACCGATTGTGCACAGGGGACAATTTCATGAGCGCCGCCGCCCGCGGTGCACTATTGTCCAAAACTCAAGAATAGGAAGAAATAAGTCGAATAATGACTGAAAGATCACGAAAGTTTCGTAACTGATGCTTTTTGAGCCGCTAATTTTGAATTTGATTTCAAATTGCCAACATTGTAACAGGCACGCTGCGGCGCGGTGTGCTACCAGCTCGAAACGCGCACTGACGCCTACAAACCTAAAGGGATACTTCAAGCATTGCGCAATGCGTGAAGTAGCCCTTTGGGTTTGGGAGTTGATTTCAGAGAAAACCAGTGGCGCCATCGTGTTTCTCGCCAACTTTTACACAAGAATTAACAGTCAAATCGCAAAATCCTCACACATGCAACATCTCCATCGACTCGATCAACGGTGCGACGGAGTCCTCGAGATAACCACAGAGGCTTCTTTACTTGAATTCAATGTAGAATTTGCAGGGGTCTGAAATTTTATGAATTTCATGCTTAAGAATAAACTAATAAGAGAACTGAGCATGAAAATATCCTCGGTTTCCATAATGAACGATGGGATTACGTTTTGCAATAAGGCTCGGGAGCCACTTATCTCTGGCTTTTCTACAAAAGCACCTTTCTGCATAGGGAAACCAATGGCATGTGGTTTCTAAAATGAGCCAGAGATAGTGGTTTCTTTTTGCAAAATGTGGACCAATTATAAGACGAGATATGGATTGCACTTTGCAAAAAGGAACCAAGGGCAATCCAATGTTGCTAAGATCGTGCAACTTACATTCTTCGCAAATAAAATCATTCAAATCATGAAAAAAATTAAATTTACAAAGGTAGTTTTCGTCTTGAAATAATAGTTTATTGGGAGTAAACGCTGACCTTGTTCAGATGATCGGTTTATATTTTCAAGGTAAAAAAAGTTGCGCAGTCCAAACGACATTGGCTCTTGGTTCTTTTTTGCAAAATGCAATCCATACAAACAAATGACTGAATCTGCTGAAAGATGTGTCTTTAAATGGGATAACCCCCTTTGAGATCCCGAAAATTGGGGCAAACTATTGTTAAAAGCTGAATAAAATTTGCAGTATTTTTTGATGATACGGATAATGATACTTCGCCTGGCGACCAGCGAGGGATGGAACGAACTTCCTTAAAATGTTTTTTTTTTTTTTTTTTAAAACCAACTAGGAGGCTACGCTCCCTGATTGCTCCGCAGTCTGAACTCCCGAAGCGTTACGCGCTTCAGACGTTTTTGCGTTGCTCTAAAGACTTTAAATCATAGTAAGATGGAGAGGGTAACGTAACGGCGTAACGCTGGCACTGACCTCCCTCCCCCTTGTAACGAAGGCTCATAATCCCCCCCCCCTCCCATCCCCAAAGCGTTACGTATTTTATGAACGCTCCCATACAAGACTCGATGAGTGGAAGTGAGGTAGCTCCGGTGCTGAGAGAGAAGGCTGAAGTTGCTGAGATCGATCGCTCATGATTGGTCTATTCGAGGTCAACCACTTAACCCTCCTTTTCCCCGTTATCAATTTTTAAAGCTTTAGAGAGTTCGGAGTCTTAGTTGCCGTGGTGTCAATTGCCAGAGGAAAAGATTTACTACGAACTTTGGATAATGCATTTGAATGTTACATAGAATGTTATAACATTCTAGAATTTCGTCAGTAGGTCTAAAGCCCGTTTAAGAGCATCAAAGTAGAGCTATCGAAGTGGCATCACGTGACGCCACTTTGGGAGCTCTACTTTGGTCGTCTGGAACGGGCTTAAGGTGATTCGATGGACGCCATATTTTGTGTCAGAAAGGCATGGTAAAGGTATCACATCCATCGGTTCCATTTATTCAGCTACTCGTCGTTTTTCTCCAATTTTGAGATCACAATTCTGCTGTCAGGAAACTAAAGCACTCACTTACGAATTTTAACAAAGAAATTCAACGAAATAAAGGCGTGGTTTTTTTTCGAGAGAAAATATAGCATTCGAGTGCAGTTTCGATATCAGTATCAGTCTGTGCGACTAAATTTCTTGCCACGCGTCGCTAATCTTTCATTGAGGATGCTGGGCACAAAAACGCTTTTCCTGAGAAGTGGTCCATTCCATTGCACGTATGAGTTGCAGCAAACTAAACTAACTTAAAACAGGTAAGATAGTATAAAACTGAGGTTAAGATGATTCGATGGACGCCATATATTTTGTGTCAGAATGGCATGCGATATATAGCATTGATCAGTTTCATTTTTTTAGCTACTCATCACTTTTCTCGAATTTTGAGATCGCAATTCTGTCGTCAGGAGGCTAAAGAATTCACTTACAAATTTTGACTGACGAATTCAACGTAGTGAAGGCGTGGTTTTCTTAGAGGAAAAATATAGCATTCGATATTGATATCGAAACTGCACTTAAATGCGATATTTTCTATCTGAAAAAACCACACCAATATTACGTTGAATTTGTTCTTCAAAATTGGTGAGTGAATTCTCTTGTCTCCTGAGAGCAGAATTGCGATCTCAAAATTCGAGAAAACTGACGAGTAGCTGAAAAAATGGAACCGATCGATGCGGTGTATCGCATTTCGTTTTGACACAAAATATGGCGTTCATCGAATCACCTTAAGCACAACAAACTATTTAAAATGTTCTCCAAAGCGCCAGTTATGAGAATTTCCGTAGTCTGTACCACACAAGAGACACGTCAAAATGTCCCCTTACCAAGAGTTCTTCCCTAAATTTCTGTTCCGTTCCATGCCTGAAATTCCCGCCAATAAAAATTACCCGATTCATCCCGATCAATGAAAACTCTGATGACAGTGCTTTCTCTATCGATGCGGAGAGGTAAAAAAATCCGGGTGATTAATACGCAGAGGTTTTTATTCGTACTCAGAACCACCTTAACTACAGGCTCAGATAGTGAGAAATTGAGAGAGAGTAAAAGAAGGAAAGTTATTACTCTCCTACGCTCATTAAACAATTGAATCATAACCAATAAAGGAGGAAAAATTATTACTCTCTGTGCACACGAAACAATTGAGCCATACTAAAAGAGGAAAAAGCAGAAATAAAAAATGGAAACATGTAAAAACTGTCGCAAATGAAGGGAGAACTTAAGGGAATGAACACGTCAGAAAATTGGAGGAAGCTCATACAGTTTTCAAGCTGTTGGGCGCCTTGATATATGTATTGTTAATAAGCAAATAGGCTTTTCTTGAAGTTTGACAACAATGAGCTTCCCCCAATTAAATGCATGTAAAACAATCGATTATTTATAATGGAGTGAAATGGAGGCGTGTTGCCAACTCGCGGGAATCGCTGCTAATAAGGCAATACCCGAGGTTGTCAGGTAGTGCGATAAAATGTTGCATTTACTTGGATTAAATTGGGAAAAGTGCTGATTTTTCAGCATCACCTAGCAATAGCGACGCACTTGCATAAAGTAAGCCCAATACCAACGTGAGAGGAACACAATTTCCTGGTCAAACTGGTCCCTTTGTCTTGCATCTGATGAGACCGGAAAATCATTTCATTCAGGTACCTAAAATGGTACTTCTACTTTCTTTGTGCAGATGAAGGCTAAAGAGGCATTGTGGTCATTATCCACTGATTTTCTGTGAGACCAATTTTCCAAAAATAAAATGCTTTTTGTGGGTGCTAAAAAACAAGTGTTATACCTAGTAAAACTCAGTTTTCCTGAAAATCGGTGGGTAATGGGAATATAAGAGAAAAATTCCTGATATTTCCCGGTATGCTCAGCTTTCAGGGTTTCTACATACTCTGGAATAAGAAAAAGGTCCGTTCATAAAATATGTAACGCTAATGGGGAAGGGGGATCTGAGGCTACACTGCTGTGCTAAGGAAAAACGCCGTATGAACATTCGAGAGTTGCAAAATTTCCTTCGATAAAATGTTTATTTTTGAGGGAAGTTAGGAATATTTTTCCTTTGAATTTGCAGAATCTTTAGGTGAAATTGCGAACAAAATTACAGTGCTCTTCTCTCTTTGTAGCGAAATTCAAGGGACCGGAAGGTTCGTACGCTACAGAGAGGGATCCGGTAGACAGAGGGCTGGAGGAACGTATAGGAACGTCAAGGGACCGGTGGATACATCCGTTACAGAGAGTTTTCCGTTACGGAGAGTGCCGCTACGGAGAGATAGTACTGTATCNGGGGGGGGGGGGGGTGTTGTATTCATAAGTTAACCGAGAAATTCGTGTTTTATCAAATAAGGCAATTTGGCAACACCTGAATGTTCATACGGCGTTTTTCCTTGGCACGGCAGTACATTACAGGACAGCGTTCAGGGTTGCGTCACGTAACGCTATGGGCGCATTGAGGCGGTTTATCGAAAATATGAAAAAATCAACGCGAGGTGGCAATTGAACGTATTTCTATCAAACGGAACTATGTGCATTAAGACATGAGCCCTGAGACCCATAAAAATATGTGCATAGCAGGGCTCACGTCATAATGCACATAGTTCCGTTTGATAGAAATACGTCCAATTAATATTCTTATCTCAAATTCATCACACAACCCTGATGGAGCTCTGGCATGTGTAGGGGATTTGCGAAAAGAGTACTTTTTCTTGTCTAAAATTTCGCGAGAATCACGAAAATCTCGAATTTCCGTACCTTCCCACGGAAAATCCGTATCTTTATCGTGCTTAATTCCGTACCAACCTTCCGAAATCCGTGCTTTTTCAGTGTGTCCGTACTTTTTCCGTATAGTAGACACCCTTGAAAAGAGAGGAAGGAAAAAAAAAGAAGGGGAACTAGAGCATGGTGTCTAGTTTTCTTGGCAAAGCTCATTCCCTGAATTTTCCCTGATTTTCAGGAGCTCATTCCCTCGTTTTCTCCCACTTTCTCGGGATTTTCTTGGGGAAAATAATATAATTTTCCAGAGTTTCAGATATGCGTACCGATTTTAATTCATCTTACAGCCATTTCTTTGGCGCACGTCAGATTAGACCGCCAAATTTGAAAACGAAATGGACTATATTTTGCAATTTGGAACTATAAATTCTAGCCCGGTTTAAAAACAACGTATGTGCCGTCAGTTTCCCTATGCACATAAGTGTTTTTCTAGAAGAGCCAGAATTTATAGTTCCAAATTGCAAAATGCAGTCCAAATGATCCCTGGGTGGTTCGAGAAGAGATTCCCGGTTTCTGGAACAGATTTCCTGATTTTACCGGTTTTCATTCCCTGATGAATCCCGGTTTTCCCGGTTTTTAAAAAACTAGACACCATGAACTAGAGAGAGAAGAGGTAGGCAATATGGACTACTCACCGGTGCGTTGATGAGCTCCTCGAGGCGAGCTTTGATATCCTGGCCACGCTTGGGCCTCATGAGGAGGAATATGAACTTGATCCCCGGACAAGAACGGAGGAGCTTCTCGACGAGGACTTTGCCCATGAAACCGGTGCCTCCGGTCACGAACACCGACTGGTTCTGGTAGAAACTGCTCACCGTGACGTACTCCTTCGCTCCGCTCATGTTTGCCATCGTTGAAGCGCGGGAAATTTGAATTGTTACATGAACGCGAACGCACCGTGGGATAAGCAACACTCAACGATCGCAACGCATTCCCGGACAGAAACCTCAACGCGTCACCGTGGAAAACAACTCGTAGAAAAATTCAACTAACTACTGTAAGTAAAAAAAATAAAATATGTATAAACGGTATTTAATACTTAGTCGATTAGATAAATAATAACAAAGGCCACGGCTCGTGGCTGACTGCGTGCGCAACGATTAACAGAAACAAAGGGGGCGAGAAACAAAAAATTCAAAAAAAAAAAAAATGAAAATCACTGGGAATGTTTTTGAACGGGGCTTGGGTTCACCGCTGTTTCGCCGCAGCGGTGCGAGACCAGGACGAACGCCGCGGAATTACCTCTGGCAGCCGGATTTTTGGAGCCATTTCCTCGTGTCATACCTGAAACAGACAATAAAATACGCTCAGTTTTTTTACATATTACATTATGTCATCAAGTCAGGCAAAATGTGCATTAATATTGGGGGGAAAAATAGAAAGAAATGGGCTAAAATAGCAGAGACAGTGCGAAAACAGCCGAAATTCTGCGTCCAGATAACGTTATCAAGGAGTGATTATAGTCACCTTCCGGCCAAATTATCACGAGCGTCATGCGACGTTTAAAACTTTCCGCCGCCATTTTATTTTCTTACAGAGAAATTGGTTAACGAGGCTGTCTGAAAATTTTACTGGATTTTCTTCGAGCTGCCGATAAAATTCAGTGAAATTTTTAAACAAATTCAACCGACAATTTGGGAAATTGTAGGTAATCAAAGAAAGTGAAATTTCCTCACACTCCCGAGATTTAGAAAAGTTAAAATCGTTGTATGGATTACCACAGAAATTACCGGAGAATTTCAAAAATTGACCCGTCTCAGAACAATCCGAAGTTACGAGACAATGCATCGAAATTCAGACAAAAACGTCGAAATGAGACTTGTCGGTGTCATCGTCAACTTTAGAAACAATTCATTTCGAACGCTTGTAACATCATTTATATTGAGAATTATGCTTGAAACATACATGATCCAATGTTCCTTCCTAATTGCGTGAAAACAATTAAGCTTGACATTGAAAAATGAAAAGCGATGAGTTTAATCCCGAACTGGGTTTTCCGCCGCCGATTTCAACTTCCACCTTAAGGTACACCATGGTTACACACGTCGTCATCATCATCAATCGTTGAAATAAACTTCTTTTCTATCCTCAAATCCACGATGCCAGCTGGAGCTGGCCCACTCGCGAGTGCGCGCGTTGAAATCAGTGACTTCAGTTGGGTTTGGTTAGGTTCAGCAACTAAACTAACTCCTAGGCAAAGCTGGTGGTATCACCGGAGGTCGAAGGCGCTCTCGATCGAGACCGTGCTCTGGATTTCGAGGCTCTCTACACACCGCACTGTAGATCGAGTCAATCAGAGAGGTCAGACATAAATTTTTTTACTAAAACTGCAAATTTTGTTGTTTTTTTCACCACATTTTTAATTTTGAAGGGTGCTTCTGGAAAGAAATTTCACGAGGAAACTAATGAAACCACTTGTAGATCCTCCAAGTTTCGTAAATAGACGGAGCTATAAGCTTTCAAAGTTACCAAATTTTATCCAATTTCTCCCACTGACTGAACCACAGGGCGCCGATGCAATTACAATTAGGTGAGGCAGCACGCATGCCGCTTGCTTATTGCCTGCGACGCACGCATACACATATTGATGGTGAAATTGCAGGAACGCGTATCTTGCTTTACGACGATGCAGACTTTTAGTCATACTTTATTTTTAAAATGGAAAAATACTCAACGTCGTTTCTTGAAAACCTCCCTAATTTTTCTCCACTGTGTGATGAATGATTTACACATTAAAATTCCAAGTGATCGCGTTGGTTTTTTTCTCCGTTGATATATGAAACTAGGGGGTCTAGCCTTCTGGCCGCTACGCGGCCCAACCCTCTGAAAAGGCCAGTTTTTCGGACCCCCGTCAGCTAATTTAAAAAGAACGGGTTCATCTGGGGACTATCTCCTGTCGATAGTCGCAAAAATCATAAGAATCAAGATCTGTTTTTTTTTCTTCAAAAAAGTTTATTTTCGATGAGTGCCCCCAAAAGAGATCATAACTCCTAAGTTTTCTAAAACAATTATTTTTCCCCCTCTTATTTTATTTTTATTTTTAAAAGCTCCATGATGCGATTGCGTATGTTTTGTATCCCTCGGAATGTGGCTGTCTCTAGATAGTCGTGTCTCTGTTCCTCTTCTCCTCTGTCCTTCTTCCTTCTGATGAATCGAAGATGCATTAGAAGACGGAAAAAAGTGGAATATAAAGAGGAAGAAGAAGAAGAAGAAAGTGGGAAAGGAAGAAAGAGGAAGAAGAAGGAGAAGAAAAAGGAAAAGAAGAAAGTGGAAGAGGAGAAGGAGAAAAAGAAGGAGAGAGTGGAAGAGGAAGAAGGGAGAGGAGAAGAAGAAAGTGGAAGAGGGAGAAGGAGAAGAAGGAGAAAGTGGGAGAGGAGGAAGAAGAAAGTTGAAGAGGAAGAAGAATGAGAAGAAGGAGGAGGAGGAGGAGAAGAAAAAGAAGAATGAGAAGAAGGAGGAGGAGGAGGGGAAGAAAAAGAAGAAGAAAGTGGAAGAGGAAGGACGAAGAGGAGAAGAAGAAAGTGAAAGAGGGAGAAGGAGAAGAAGAAGGAGAAAGTGGGAGAGGAAGAAGAGAGTTGAAGAGGAAGAAGAATGAGAAGAAGGAGGAGGAGGAGAAGAAGAAAAAATATTGGAAGATGAAGAAGGAGAAGAAAGTGGGAGGAGAAAAAGAAGAAAGTGGAATTGGAGGACACCAAATACACTTTTCAATCTTCTTTTTCTCCACTTGCTTCTTCTGCTTCTTCTTCTTCTTCTTCTTCTTCTTCCTCTCTAGATACGTGACGTCATTTATGATCGACCTCGATGAGTGATCCGTAACGCGCGTCCTCGGCTCGAAGCGGCAACGCGCTAGCCGAGTGAGTGATTTAAGTGGCGCGCTGAATGAGCTTTGCTTTCAGAGGGGGGAAATGGGGAAATTGACGCGGGGAGCCGTCAGCGTTGCCGGGCGGAACCGAAAAATCGCAATTTTTTCGAACACATCGATTTCGGGGAATCGATTTGATTTTCAATGTAAATCGAGTCGATTTTAGAATCGTACGAAAAATCGATTTCTAATATCAAAAAACCCAAGTTCAACGCCAAAAACGCAACTACTAAAACTGAACTTGAAATGAAACTCAGGTCTCACAGAATCTAGGCCTTAGGTGACACATAGACGTAGGAAATTTCGATTCTTTTCAGTGATTCGATTTTGGCTCAAAAAATCGATCCCGATTTTTAATCGACCTCGAACAATCGATTAAAAATCGCCATCCCTGCGCGACAAGCAATAACTGTGACGCCCGACGCACTGGTTTTCGAGCTCCACACCTGGCCAAAGCTATTTTACAGCTGAAATCGCTCGAATTCATTGAAAAACTGACTCTATAGTCCTTCAGACTCCAGCCAGTTTTCCGAGTCGGGCGGCCAAGTTGCAGATGGAGGAAAAGCGAAGGACGAGGAAAACGAAAAGTGAGAGAAGACGGAAAAATGTATTTGGCGTCTTCCAATCCCACTTTCTTCTTCTTCTCTTCCTACTTTCTTCTCCTTCTTCTTCATCTTCCAATGTTTTTTCTTCTTCTCCTCCTTCTTCTTCCTCTTCAACTCTCTTCTTCTTACTCTCCCACGTTCTCCTTCTCCCTCTTCCACTTTCTTCTTCTCCTTTTTTAATTTCACTTTCTTCTTTTTCTCCTTCCACTTGCTTCTCCTTCTTCATCTTCCAATATTTTTTCTTCTTCTCCTCCTCCTCCTTCTTCTCATTCTTCTTCCTCTTCAACTTTCTTCTTCTTCCTCTCCCACTTTCTCCTTCTTCTTCTCCTTCTCCCTCTTCCACTTTCTTCTTCTCCTCTTCCTTCTCCCTCTTCCACTTTCTTCTTGTCCTCTTCCTTCTTCCTCTTCCACTTTTTTCTTCTCCCTCTTCCACTTTCTTCTTCTCCTCTTCCTTCTTCCTCTTCCACTTTTTTCTTCTCCCTCTTCCACTTTCTTCTTCTCCTCTTCCTTCTCCCTCTTCCACTTTCTTCTTCTCTTCTTCCTCTTCCACTTTCTTCTTCTTTCTGTTCTTCTTCTCTTCCACTTTCTTCTTCTCCTTCTTCCTCTTTCTTCCTTTCCCACTTTCTTCTTCTTCTTTATATTCCACTTTTTTCCGTCTTCTAATGCATCTTCGATTGAAAGGCATTAGAAGCCCTGTACACGGGTCTGATAGACCAGAGTCAAAAATCATTTTCGAACTCAAGTTTTGGCGAGGTTCTGAGCCCGAAGGTTCGCTCGAGGCGATCGCGCAACGCGCTCCGGGCCGAGTCGAAATCGAGCAATTAGGAGCGACGAAAAGGGCGGGAACCCCGCGCGGCGCCGCACTGCACCACACCGCGGAAACCACTTAACCCCGACCGAGACCCCCGCCCGGAGACGCGCTTTTCGCCGACGACGACGCAACGCCGCGCCGCGCCGGGATCCGAAACGCGTCGTCGACGTCGAGTCGGTGGACGATGAACTCGCGCCGCAACGCCGGAATCGCGAGGGTGTGGAGTCGTCGACGCGCGACGTGACGTCCACGTACACGTTGACGTGAGGCTTCGGCTCCCATCCCGTCGCGCTATCGAAAGTGCGAGCTTCCAGTGGGCAAAGAAACACCGAAACATCTCGGCCACCGTCACGTCGCGTCGTCACGTGCTGCGTGGGCGTTTAAAGCCGGAATCGTACACTGAATATGAGAGCTGAATGTGGCTTGAATGTGGAGGTCATCAGTCCGATGCCTGAATTTTGCGCGGCACGCGCAAAATTCAGGGCACCGACGAGGATTGGAGCTCAGCAGTGATCGGTTGGTCTGAACCACTCGAATGGATTTGAAACAAATCTGAATGAAAATAACTCGAATTTACAAGGGTATCTAGTTTTTTTTTCATTTTGAGAAATCCTGATTTTTGACTGCTAAATCCTGAATTCATAATTTCTGACATTCATTCTTGAGGAAATTCATGCATGTTTTTCCTTAAAATTTTCAGGGTTTTTTTTTTTTTTTTTTTTNTTTTTTTTTTTTTTTTTTTTTTTTTTTTTTTTTTTTTTTTTTTTTTTTTTTTTTTTTTTTACTACTACTTCAAATACCACACAAGTGGTAATCCTTGCGCTTCCAGTAAGAGCCCCTCCCCCCTCCGTCTCTGGGCCATGTACCAGCCCAAGGCAACCGTTGTTTGAGACTATCAAACTCGGGTCGCCTGGCCGGGAATCGAACCCGGGACCTCCAACCACTACACCACAGGAGGCCGATTCTGTATATTAAATTGTGGATGTGATTCTCCACAAAATTGGGA